TCTGTCGTTTTCGTAGTTTTTCCTTTGTCTTTTCGTTTCTGTGTTTCTTTCTATCTTCCCCTCTGTCTATATATTTTCTCGCTGTTTATCTTTCTCTGTGTCTGCTTTTCTTCATTCTTGCCCGTTTTTATTTTTATTTTTTTATCTATTCTTTTCTGTCTGTCTTTCTTTCTTTTGCGGAAACTTCTTTTTATTGTTATCTCTGTTTCTTTAATTTTCGTTTGTCTTACTCTTTCCTTCTTACCTTTTTTTCGTGTTTCATTCTATATTTTTTGTATCTTTTTTTGCCATTTGTTCCTGTATTTCTTTTTTAATTTTTTCGTTGTGTTGTTCCTTAGTCTTGCCTTTTTATCGTCTTTTTGTTTCTTTATATTATATGCACTTTTTGTTTTCTTTCTGTCTTCGTTTCTGTCTGTGTTTATTTCTTTCCGTATGCTTTTCCACTTGTTATTTTCGTCATTTTATCTTTGTCTTTTTCATTTCCGTGTTCTTGCTATCTTCCTCTGTCTGTATAATTTTTCTTTTGGTATTTTTCTTTCTGTTTGCTTTTCTTCCTGTTTATCTTTCTCGGTGTCTGTTTTTCTTCGTTCTTGTCTATTTTTATTTCTATTTCTTTCTCTTTTCTTTTCTGTCTGTCTTTCTGTATTTTGTGGAAAGTTCATTTTATCGTTATTTCCGTCTTTTTAATTTTCTTCCTATACTATTTTTCCTGATTTTTTGTCACTGTTTCTCTATATATCTGCTTTTTTTTGTTTTTCCGTTTTTTCACTCTTTCTCCTGTTTTTTATCTGTCTCGCTTTCTATTTATCTTCATTTCATTCATTCCTTCTTTTTTCGTATGTTTCATTTTTCATATATCTTTCTCTGTTCCTCCTCTTTTTTTATTGTTTCTACACTTTTTGTCTTTTTTTTTATTTTTTTTCGGCCTTCCATTCTTTCTCCCTGTCTTTCTTCATTTTCTGTCAATCTTTTATTTCTGTGGTTCTTTCTGGATTTCTTTCTGTCTGTCATTCTTTTCATCCTTGTTCCTTACGTATTTTACTTTGTATTTTTTTCTGTATTCCTTTCTGTTGGTCTTATTTTTCTGTCAACCTTCATTTCTATGTTTCTTTCTGGATTCCTTTCTGTGTCATTCTTTTTATCTTTGTTTCTTTGTATTTTAATTTTGGTTTTCTGTCTGTCTTCGTTTCTGTCTGTTTTTCTATGTTTCTTTCTGGGCGTTTTTCCAGGTGTCATTTTCGTAATTTTATCTTTATCTTCATCATTTCCGTATTGCTTTCTGTCTTATTCTTTATTTCTGTGTTTGTTTCTGTTGCCTTTCAGTCTGTTTCCCTTCCTGTATTTTCTTCTATCTGTGTTGTTCTCTGTTTGTCTTAATTTCAATCTTTCCTTATGTCGATCTTTCTTTCTATATTTTTTCTATTTTCTTTTTTCTTAGTTATTATTTCTATCTCTCTTTTTTGTATTTTTTCGATCTTTTATTTTGTTTCTCCATGTCGTTCTTTTTCTGTCAATCTTTATAGCTATGTTTCTTTTTGTTTTTTTTTAATTGTCATTCTTTTTAATTTTGTTTGTCCCTTTTTGACAGTGTTTTATTTCTGTCTGTCTTCGTTTCTGCGTGTCTTTCTATGTTTCTTTCCGGATGTTTATCTACATGTTTTATATTTGTTTTTTTCATTTCGGCATTTCTTTCTGTATGTTAATTTGTCTATATATTTTTTATATGGTGTTTTCATTTGTGTTTATTTTTGCTTATGATTCTCCCTGCCTATATCAGTTTTGTGTGTTTTCTCCCGAACTATCTATCTCTGCCTGTTTATTCTTTCAGTCAGTCTTCTTTCTTATTGTTTCTACCCTCTTTGGTTTTTTCTTTTTTATTTTTCCCACCTTTCATTCTTCCTCTCTGTTTTCTGTTGATCTTTTATTTATATGATTCTTTCTGCATTTCTTTCTGTCTGTCATTCTTTTTACTCGTGTTCTATGTATTTTACTGTTTGTTTATTTCTGTATTCGACTCAGTCTGTGTTTCTATGTTTCTTCCTGGATGTTGTTCTACTTGACGTTCCGTGTTTCTTTCGGTCTTTCCCTCTATCTATATATTTTTTTCTCTGTTTTTCTTTCTATTTGTGTTTCTTTCTGTCCATCTTTCTCTATGTCTGTTTTTCTTACTGTCTTTGTGTCTGTTTCGAAGTTCTATTTATTTTTATCTTTATCGTTTTAATTTATGTCTATCCTTTTGCATATCTTCTTTATTTCCGTATCTCTTGCTATATTTCTTTCCGTCATTCTTTTTCTTTATTATTGTTTCTATCTTTCTGTCCTTTTGTGTTTTCATCCTTTCATTCTCTCCCCCTATCTTTCTGTCTGTCTTTCCATGTTTCTTTCTGGATGTTTTTCTTTATCTTTATCTTTATCTTCATCATTTCCGTATTGCTTTCTGTCTTATCTTTGTGTTTGTTTCTGTTTACTTTTATCCTTTTCTCTCAGTTTTTCTTTGTGTGTTTCTCTTTCAGTGTGTCTCCCTTCCTGTATTTTCTCCTGCCTGTGTTGTTCTCTGTTTGTCTTCATTCCAATCTTTCCTTCTGTCGATCTTTCTTTCTATATTTTTTCTATTTTCCTTTTTCTTTGTTTTTTTGTATTTTTTCGATCTTTCATTTCGTTTCTCCATGTCGTTCTTTTTCTGTCAATCTTTATTGCTATGGTTTCTTTTTGTTTTTTTTAAATGTCATTCTTTTTAATTTTGTTTCTCTCTTTTTCACTGATTGTTTTATTTCTGCGTGCCTTTCTATGTTTCTTTCTGGATGTTTATCTACATGTTTTATTTTTGTCTTTTTCATTTAGGTGTTTCTTTCTGTATTTCAATTTGCCTATATATTTTTTTATATGGTGTTTTTATTTGTGTTTATTTTGGCTTATGATTCTCCCTGCCTCTAGCAGTTTTGTGTGTTTTCTCCCAAACTATCTATCTCTGTCTGTTTATTCTTTCAGTCAGTCTTTTTTCTTATTGTTCCTACCCTCTTTGGTTTTTTCTTTTTTGTTTTTCCCACCTTTCATTCTTCCTCTCTGTTTTCTGTTGATCTTTTATTTATATGATTCTTTCTGGATTTCTTTCTGTCTGTCATTCCTTTTACTCGTGTTCTATGTATTTCACTGTTTGTTTTATTTCTGTATTCGTCTCAGTCTGTGTTTCTATGTTTCTTCCTGGATGTTGTTCTACTTGACATTTTCGTCATTTCATTTTTGTCTTTTCATGTCCGTGTTACTTTCGGTCTTCCCCTCTGTCTATATATTTTTTCTTTGTTTTTCTTACTATTTATGTTTCTTACTGTCCATCTTTCTCTATATCTATTTTTCTTACTGTCTTTGTGTCTGGTTCGAAGTTCTATTTATTTTTATCTTTATCGTTTTAATTTATGTCTACCCTCCTGCATATCTTCTTTATTTCCGTGTCTGTTTCTATATTTCTTTCCGTCTTTCTTTTTCTTTATCATTGTTTCTTCTGTTCTTTTGTGTTTTCGTCCTTTCATTCTCTCCCCCTATCTTTCTGCCTGTTTTCGTTTCTGTCTGTCTTTCCATGTTTCTTTCTGGATGTTTTTTACATGTTATTTTCGTAATTTTATGTTTATCTTTTTCATTTTGCGTGTTTCTTTCTGTCTATATAATTTTTTTTTTTTGGTATTTTCTTAGTATTTCTTTTTGTTCGTCATTGTCTCGCCATATGATTTTCCTTTCTGTTTCTTTCTGATTTCTTTTTGTCTTTCTTCCTGTATTTTTTCGCATGTTATTATTTTTATTTTCATCTTTTGAATTGGTCTTTCCTTATGTTTATCTTTCTGTCTGATTTTTCGGCATTTCATTCGTTTTCGCTGCTTTTCTCTAAAAATGAGGAGGATATACCGGATGACTGTGAATGATTGTGATTTTTCTGTCAGATTGGCAACATATCTAAAGTTTTACTTGTCTGTGTTTACTGACTGTGAAAATGAAATTTACGGCGTCAAGTCATCTCATCACATTTGATAATAATTCAGAATTGCCACCACAAAAATTTGCTCAATTATTAAAAATCACCCGGTATTTGTATACCAGTGCTTATCATCCTGATAATCCACTTATTGTCATTTTAATTATAATTTCGACAAAGTCCTCAATCTACATTTCCGTCTTTAAAATAACGTTTTGGAAATAAAAAAATACAGCGACCCATAGACATAGTGACGAAAGAAATCACATTCCTCTGGAATGAACGGAATGGAATGTAATTCACAGTGTGTCTGTTTTACTGTTGAATTTACAATTACAGTTACAATTAGCACGACGCGGTGACAAAAGCTAATGCACATTTTGATGACACAATTATTTAAATACACCACCTGTGTTTGCTATCTATATTTTTTACGTCGTTGGAAAGTTCCGAGAATTTCTTCAGCAAATAGAGTCTGCAACTCGCCAGGCACAGCTGTTGCGAATTCATCAGTAAATCTGTTTTTTTGAAATACTTTCCACTTCTTAGGTTTTTGACCTACAGTAGGGCCACCACAAGAACCACAATTTTAGGCCAAGGTTACATCTCCAGCGATCACACGGTGTGACTGCCGCCACATCCGCCCCATCAATTTCGTCAGCCTTGAAACAATAACAATTTAAACACACGCCAAACAGCCAAGACTCCAAAAGAGCCCCCATATCGCGTTATCGCCCGATTCCACTCCCAAGATTCAAATCTGACGCATTTCCGCCCGACAAACTCCGACCCAACTGGGGTCATTGAATTTTTCCAGGAACAAAACTCAAAACTACCAGCAATTAGCGCAACCCCTTAGCACCCATAAAAACGCGGAAGCGCGAATTAGCCAAACGCGCACTTTTTATTGCCCGTTATGAATAAATTGCCACCCTGGCAGCCTGATAGCGCAAATAATGGAATGAGTTATAACTTATTATGTTAATAAATTATTTTTAATGTAGTGCGTCTGTACAATTTTATTATTGTCCGATGCGCCGTGCCATCTCCGCACTCGAGCGAAGTTAGTCATCGAGAGCACGTCCTCGCGTTAGCACGCTCGCCAACTTCGCGCCGAACGATCATTCACAGTGTCGGACGTCGTAAAATGTGATTAGTGAGACAAATAGGTAATATTTGGTAATAGTCGTGTTATTTTGGGGGTGCTGGGGGCGACGGCGGCGCCGCAGGCGCGCCCCACGCGATTCCGCGACAAGTTTGAGGTTATGTCTGTCGTCGCTGCTCCCCAACTGTCACTCGAGCTCTAAGCCTTGTCTTTCAGAGCGAAGGAGCATGCAGTTGCCATGCGAAGGGCGCCTCGACAGTGACTATGGCAGCAGCGAAGCGCCCCGGAAAAATGGCAAGAGGACATGTGTGCGACCTGGGGATCTGGAAGCACAGCAAATGGAGGACTGTTGACGTGCCGAGATAACCACGTTTCGCGGCTCTCACACATTCCAACCCTTAGTTAGGATAGTGCCATATTCACCGCTCCGCACCAAAGCCACTTCGCATACCTCATATGTAAGTTAAGTGATGGACGAAGACAGCAGGCCTCTTCTGGGGGTCCCGAAGATACACAGGGTGCTGCGACGGTTCCGCAAGAAGAACCACTGCGTCTACAAAGCGTCGACCCTCAAGAAGTGCGTGGTCTTCATTATCTTCATCAGCATACTCTTGATCATCTTCTACTCGCAGTATGTGGGGCACTCGCCGTCTTATCTCACCGGGTGAGTCTAGCTGGGGTTGCGATGCGTGGCATCGGCGCAAAACATTGCGACACAAATTTAAACAAATCAAAATTCCGGGAGTTATGGCTGTTATTTGAGTTGTAAACAAACAAGAGAGCGATTTCGATTTACGGCTTTCTAAACACTTGATGCTGGTGAAAACAAACACGAAGGTCGGGAAAGAGCGAAGCGAGCGCGTCGGGGCGCCCCATTTTCACATAAATCCGTACTCAGAAACCCCTAGACAGATTTTTCGGGGGTGAGTAAATCCTCGGCTTTGGAGTTTCCCCCGAAATTACACAAAGTCTATAAATATTCGTCGTATCAGTATGCGGTTTACATTACTCAGTTTTTGCGAGAAGCGGAAATGATAAAAACGTAAGGCATTTAGACAGTCTGCGCACATAATGCCAAAGAATGACAGATTTTAACCGATAAACGTAAAACTGATGTAATCACGTTAATCTAAATAAGGAAAGTTTATTTTACTTGAATCACATCATCGCTATCGGGAAGGTTTAAAAAACGGATATCGTAAATCGAGAAAATTACATACTGTGTTAGCCTACTTTATTTCCAATTTTTTCGAAGTTTGAGATTTTTTGTTGTTATTTTGTAACTAATTCATCACCGCGACAATTATCTCATCAACATAAATCATTACTGCAGCGCTGTTTTTCCCTTCACCTGCTAGATAAACGTACGGACTAAATTCCGATGAGTTCATGCCTGGTTTTAACCATTCTTTGTTTAATTTACCAGACAGTAACGTCTTTCGTTGTTTTAATCCACAGCTTCTTGAAAAATAGCTACTGAATAAATAAAACTAATAACTTCCCTTGAAATATTCTTCGTGATCTTCCACTTCGCCCAGTTGGACCTCTTCGATTTTATTTGTCTTAATTGATATTACTATACGGATCCTATGTCTGATAAAATGTTGACAGCCGCATAAATATTAATTATGGGACGGAAGATTTGAGGCACTATAAAGGGGTCTTCAATTAATAAAATTAGTCAAAGTACAATTTGTCGTACAAAAATGAATAATATTAAATAATGGAGCAGTTTAAACGTAATTAATATTATCACAATGTCATTTAACAGGTTATACATAAAACATGTTTTAACATATTTGCGATGTACTTGCAAGGTCTTTATTACAAGGTAACAATTATCTTATGGGAGTATTATATTATAAATATTCATAACTCGATAACCCAGATTTATTTTTGAAAAAATTTAAAATTAACTATATACTGTGTGTTTCTTTGTTGGATCTTTTTTTTTATTGTTCGTTTTCCAGTCTTTTCTTCGATTTGTTGCTTACTTTTTGTTGAATTTCTTGCTAGATTTTTTTAATAATGATAATAATAATAATAATAATAATAATAATAGGTTTATTTTCCAACGAACAGGTTTTTGTTACATTTTAGGGTCTATTTTTTGTTCGTATTTTTTTTTGCTATATGTATTTTTTTGTTCGATTTTGTTGTACTGGATTTTTGTTTTTTAGCTTTGTGGGGTGATCAGGTGATTGAAACAGTACTTGCGTGTTGGCGTATTTATTTTGATGTCGGTACGGCAGTTGAAGGAAGGGTCTTTTAGTTTGTGAAATTGAAATTAAAAAAAAGGTCGGTAGAAAGCGGTTGAAACAGTTGAAAAGGGTTCTAGGAAGGTACTCGAAATCTTGGAAGGATAAGTATTACTGAGAAGGGTGAACAAAAGATAGGTTTTACGACATGCAGGTGGACGAAGAGAAAGTTTCGGGGTGATACCGGGGAGTAATTAAATACAGATTATATACAAATGCTATACAATTTTGTGGGACTTGCCAGCCCCTTGTTGGAATTTTTTGTTCAATTTTCGATGTTTCAATTTTTTTCTAAAATTTTTGTACGAATTTTGGTCTTTTTTCTTTTATTTTTTTGGTGCTTTTTTTCGTGTGAATTGTTTCTTACTGGATTTTTTTTGTCTATTTTTTCTTCGTTCGTCTTGCTGAATTTTTTGTGCGATTGGTTTTTAAATTGTTTATTAGAATTTGTGCACAATTATTTGTTGAATTTTTCGCCCATTTTTTGTTCGTTTGTTGTTTGCGCAATTTTTCTTTGATTTTTTGTTGTATTTTTCCTAGTTTTTTTTGTTGGGGTCTTTTTCTTCATTTTTTGGGTTCATTTTTTCCTTCGAATTTGTTTTATTGAATTTTTCTTCGATTTTTAAGCTCAATTTTTATTGAATTTCTTCCTGGATTTTTTTCTCAATTTTTGCTCAGTTTCCTACTTTTTTATTTCATTTTCCTCTTTTCCTTTTCAATTTTATGGTCTTTTTCTTGGAATTTTTTAATTTTTTTTGTTTCAATTACCATTAATTGTATGTATCATAAGGGGTATCCCGCTGAATAAAAAAAAAATTGGGTCCATTTTTGGTTCCAATTTTTCTTCAACTTTCTACCCAATTTTTGTCGATTTATTGACTCGATTTTTTTGCTCTTTTTCATTTTTGTTTTCGGGTTTTTTTTTTGTTTCACTTTGTTTTGGTCTATTTTTTCTACGATTTCTGCTCAATTTTGTTGAATCTTTTCATCGATTTTTTGCTGAACTTTTTTGCTAGATTTTTTGTGCGGTTACTTTTTCAAATTTTTCTTCGTTTTTTCCTCAATTTGTTCTTGGTTGTATTTTTTCAGTTTTTTTATTGCACGTTTTTTCGTTTCTTTGTTTTTTTTACTCGATTTTTCTTCGATTTTTTTTGTTCAATTTCTTTGATTTTTTCTTCGAATTTTTGTTTGTTTTTTTTTTCAATTTTTTTGTGGAATTTTCTCTCGCTTGTTTTTTTTCCTGTATTTTTTGTTCATTTTTTATTTATTTGTTTTTTTGTTCAAGTTTTGTTGAAATTCGTCGCGCATTTTATTAATAATAATGGGTTTATTTTCCAAGAGAGATTTTTATTAGATTTTTTGCTCGTCTTTTTCTTTTTTTGCCCCTTTTCGGATTTTTATTACTGGATTTTTTTTATCTATTTTTTTTTTTCGTTTATATTGCTTTTGTGCGCGGTTTTTTGTCCATTTTTTCTTCGATCTTTTGATGGATTTTGTTGGCTTTTTTATCGTCTTTTTTCAATTTTTTGTTCTATTTTTATTCGATTTGTTCGCCCATTTTTTGTTCCATTTTTGTTTGCCCAATTTTTCTTTGATTTTCTGTTGGATTTTTTTCTAAATTTTTTGTTCGGATCTTTTTCTTCGATTTTTAGCTCAATTTTTATCGAATTTCTTCCTCGATTTTTTTTTTGGCGAATTTTTTTTCGATTTTTTTTTTCACAATTTTTGTTCAGTTTGCTACATTTTTATTGCATTTTTATTGTTTTTTCTTCAATTTTATGATCTTTTTTTTCTTAGATTTTTTTGGGTCCATGTTTGGTTCCATTTTCTCTTTAATTTTTGTTGATATATTTAGATACTCAAATTTTTTTTTTTGGTTATTTTTTCTCGGAATTTATTTATTCACTAGGTTTTGGTTCATTTTTTCTACAATGTTTTCATCAATTTTTGCTAGACTTTTGGTCCATTTTTTGTACAATCTTTTTCAAATTTATCTTCGTTTTTTGGTCAATTTCTTATTTCTTGGATTTTTTCTTCAGTTTTTTGTTGACTTTTTAGTCTTTTCTTCGGTTTTTTGCTCAATTTTTCTTCGTTTTTTTTTCATTTTTCTTCGTTTGTTGCTCAATTTCTTCTTGAATCTTCTTGGATTTCCATTGGAATTTCTTGTTCAATTTTCGTTTTTTTTTTAATTGCACTTTTATTGCGTGGTATTTTGTTCATTTTTTACTCATTTTCATGGATTTTGTTGGATTTTTTGTGTGTTGTTTGGATTGTCTTTTTTTCAATTTTTTGTTCGATTTGTTGGCCCATTTTTTGTTCGTTTTTTGTTTGCCCAATTTTTTTTTGATTTCTTGTTTGATTTTTTTAAATTTTTTGTTCGCATCTTTTTCTTCATTTTTTTCCTTCGGATTTTGGTTTACTGGATTTTTTCTTGGATTTTTAGTTCAATTTTTATCGAATTTCTTCCTCGATTTTTTTTTTTGGCGAATTTTTCGTCCGATTTTTGTTCCAATGTTTGTTCAGTTTGTTACTTCTTTATTGCATTTTTATTGTTTTTTCTTCAATTTTATGGTCCTTTTCTTTGTTAGGTTTTTTTGCCATCATTTTTGCTCAATTTTTTTGGTAATTTTTTTCAGAATTTTTTTATTTTACTTTGTTGTGGTTCATTTTTTCTACAATTTTTAGCTCAATTTTTTGTTAAATTTCTTCCTCGATATTTACTAGACTTTGGGTCTATTTCTTGCTAGATTTTTTTTGCGACTTCTTTTTCAAATTTATCTTCGTTTTTTGCTTAATTTCTTCTCAAATCTTCTTGGATTTTTTTGTCCAAATTTCGTTTTTTGCTGTATTTCTTCCGTTTTTTTTGCTGACTTTTTCGTCTTTTCTTAGTTTTTTTGCTCAATTTTTCTTCGTTTTTTTTTTTTTCATTTTTCTTCGTTTGTTGCTCAATTTCTTCTTGAATCTTCTTGGATTTTCATTGGAATTTCTTGTTCAATTTTCGTTTTTTGCTGTATTTTTTCGTTTTTTTTAAATTGCACTTTTATTGCGCGGTTTTTTGTTCATTTTTTTAACTCATTTTGATGGATTTTGTTGGATTTTTTATCGTCTTTTTTCAATTTTTTGTTCCTTTTTTGTTTGCCCATTTTTTTATTTCTTGTTAGATTTTTCTAAATTTTTTGTTCGGATCTTTTTCTTCATTTTTCTCCTTCGGATTTTGGTTTACTGGATTTTTTCTTGGATTTTTAGCTCAATTTTTATCGAATTTCTTCCTGGATTTTTTTTTGGCGAATTTTTTGTCCGATTTTTGTTCCAATTTTTGTTCAGTTTGTTACTTTTTTATTGCATTTTTATTGTTTTTTCTTCAATTTTATGGTCCTTTTCTTTCTTAGGTTTTTTTGCCTTCATTTTTGGTTCCTTTCTGCTCAATTTTTTTGGTAATTTTTTTTCAGAATTTTTTTATTTCACTTTGTGGCGGTTCATTTTTTCTACAATTTTTAGCTCAATTTTTTGTTAAATTTCTTCCTCGATTTTTACTAGACTTTGGGTTCATTTCTTGCTAGATTTTTTTTGCGACTTCTTTTTCAAATTTATCTTCGTTTTTTGCTTAATTTCTTCTCAAATCTTCTTGGATTTTTTTGTCTCTTTCTTCGTTAATTTTTGCTGTATTTTTTGTTCGATTGCTTTTTTCAGTTTTTTGTTCGAATTTATGCGCGATATTTTTGTTCATTTTTTGCTCATTTTTTTCTTCGATTTTTAATGGATTTTGTTCCATTCTCCATACTAGATTTTTTTCGGGATTTTTTTTTGTTTCACTTTGTTTTGGTCCATTTTTTCTAAAAATTTTTGCTGAATCTCTTCCTCGATTTTTGGTAAACTTTGGTCTATTTTTTGCTAGATTTTTTTGTGCGATTGCTTTTTAAAAATTTTCTTCGGTTTTTTTGCCCAATTTTTCTTCGTGTTTTTTTAAAATTTCTTCTTTGCCTTATTTTGTTAGATTTTTTCTGAATTTTCTGTTCGCAGCTTTATTTGTTTTTTTTTTCATTTTTTAGTTGCATTTTTTTTTCAAGTTTTGTTGAAATTCGTCCCCCATTTTATTAATAATAATTTTCTCACCGAGATTATTAGATTTCAGAGTCCATTTTTTTCGCGATTTTTTTTTTCATTTTTCGATTCTTTGCTCCAGCGATAACCCTTTTTTGATTGACAGTTTGACAATAACTAGAGATTAGAGGTGCCATAAATTACTCATAAAGTCAAGTATGGTATGAGCAACAAAATTCGTATAAACATGGGTTCACTGTACACGCTGTCGATCGGAAAACAGTTACCCAATTTGATCAACTGAGAGCTTCCATTAAGATAATTAATAAACCACTTTAAAAGCTCGAGCCGATAATTTTTGAATCAAAACGCGATGATTTATTTCATATTACTAAAATCAGTTTAGAGAGCGAACTCGAGCCTTGTCTCACTACCACAATGACCTCAATCGCAACGCTGAGTAATAAGTTAGTTACAGTTGACCTTTTATCAAAGAAACCACGTTATTTCACTGAAATTATACTCCTAAAAGCAGAAAAGATGAATGGATACAATGACTCAAACAATTTACTACAGAACTATAATTTTCGTACAAAGTTAGCAATTTTTCCCAAACAAAAGTCATCGTCGACCTCCACGTCCATTTTTAATTCGTCCATCACTTCTGACTTCTATTTAATTATTGCCTCACTTTTTTTCATTTCTCTCGACCGCCGATTTCGTACATTCCTCTCCTCCATTTTTAGCTTGCGGTTTAATTGCGGTTTGATGGAACCGAATCGAGTGCCAAAGTCCGGAAAAACAAGGATCTGGGTCAACTGGGCAACTGACTACAAGACAAATGACAACGTTTTCATTTGTTTACGATGCTAGTTAATCGGTGCGGTCGTATAATTCATAGTAAAACTTAATTTATCGCGCTGTGGGTTGAAACCGTAATGCGTTTTACTCAAGCACGGTTTGCATAACCCATTCTGGATAATTGATGGGGTTAGTTTGGGGGAAAACGCGGCGGGGTTGAACGACTCCATTTTCGTGAACTTGTTGTTTAACGTGGCTTTTACAAGTAAATCTACGCAGATATTAGGTAACAAATCTGAAGCACTCGAGATTTGGTAAACATGTGACAAATGTTTTGTTTTTGCGATAAGGATGAGATAACGGTGTTAACCTTAGGTCGGTCCTGGAAATCCAATAAATCGATTACCTCACGAGTTATTTTTAATCAGGCTGAGGAGTTTGTGGCGATTGTAAGTTGAGTTTCTGCTTCCGGGTCAACGTGTGGTCAAACTTGGTTTTTATCGCATGATTGAGCATTAATAATTGATTGTTTGTGTTAATGTCACAAATGGGTTCAATAAAATCGTCGATTTTATATCGTTGATAGAGTGTAAGAATGAAATTAGACCCAGCACTGACCCCTGAGATTATCAATCGAGTTAAAAATCTAGCCACCTGTTGCAAATTTCAAGAAATTCGCCCATTATCCAACTCGATGGAGGCGGTTTTCCGTCGCTCAAACAAAGCCGACTTAATAATGATTATTTTACGCTCTCGATTACGTCCGAACTCCCGGAGCCGCAGCTCGCGCCCACCGGAGCATGACGCGGCTCCTTCGGCGAGCCTCCGAAATTGTGCAGTGTTTCGTGCCGATGCCATTGTATCCACCTTGCGTAATTGGCGGTGCACGGGGTGCGCTTATAAAAGAGCGGAAAACGATTCGTTTCCAGGCTGATACAAAGAAGCAGCCGCCCCGAGCCAAACATACGATGCGGCGTCATGAACGGACCCCGAATACCGCAGAATCACGACCACAAAACCGAAGCGAGACTGAGAAGCTACCCGAAAGTTCTCGTTTTCGTCGAAACGATGTACTCGAAGCTGGGGAGGGACATCGCCGAGCTGCTGGTGCACACGAGGATCAAGTGAGTGGGGGAGGGGGGTGAAATAAGCCAAAAACTGGAAAAAATAAATTAGTCTTCCATGTTTTTATACAAAAAATCATCGACTTTTAGTTGTTTAGAATTCGATTTTTTTTAAACCGAACGTTTAAAAATTAAAAAATATATTTATATATATACACATTAACATAACTACAGGGTGTTGAAAAAAAGAGGCACCAAATCTATGACACACAGACTTGTGAGTTTATTCATGAATCGTTGAGTTCGTGTGTCATTTTTTGAACACTTGTTAAAAATCTAGGATCTTCAGAGCTTCAGAAGTTTAAATTTATTTGATAATTTTCAGTGTCATTGTACCAAAAATTTTATTTAGTTATGGATCGAAGTCCAATAATCTTAACGTGATTTAGAATTTTAAATTTATCAAAATGAACTAGTAGGTTTTGAGTTTGGTTTCTACTTTTTTTTATTTTCTTACTTGCCGTTTTTAAGTCAATGTTTTTGAAATTATCGAAAAATTGAAATACTGCATGACGAAATTTTTCGTTCACCCAAAATTGCAGTTTTCACACTTCCTATGATTTAGTTTACCGAATTTCCAGTCCGTTAGGATTTTTTAAATAACACGAATTTTGATGTGTGAAAATTTTCAGAATTCCTCCAAAATAGTTATTAATTTTTCAAAAATTGACAAATTCAGCCATCCAGCTTTAATGTCTTTATTAATGATTTATAATCCCAATTTTTTTTATACATAGAATCATCAAATTTTAGTTGTTTTCGAATTCAAAACAAAAATATTTTCCTTTTTTTTTTCAAATTGAATTTCAGAATTTAAAAAAAAATACATTTTCAAGTTCTAATCCTCAAAACACCAAAATCCTCCAATCTACAGAACAGCGGAATCCTCAAATCCTCGGAACACCAAATTCCTCAAATCCTCAGAACAGCGAAATCCTCAAATCCTCAGAACTCCATTAGCCTCAAATCCTCAGAACTCTATAATCCGCACATCCTCAGTACACCAAAATCCTCAAATCCACACAACACCGGAATCCTCAAATCCTCGGAACACCAAATTCCTCAAATCCTCAGAACTTCATAATCCTCAAATATTCAGAACACCATAATTCTCAAATCCTCAGAACAGCGAAATCCTCAGAACTCCATTAGCCTCAAATCCTCAGAACTCTATAATCCGTACATCCTCAGAACACCAAAATCCTCAAATCCACAGAACAGCGGAATCCTCAAATCCTCAGAACAGCGAAATCCTCAAATCCTCAGAACAGCGTAATCCTCAAATCCTCAGGACTCCATAATCTCAAATCCTCATAACACCATAATACTCAAATCCCCAAAATACCAAAATTCTAAAATCCTCAGAACTCCATAATCCGCAAAACCTCAGAACTCCATAATTCTCAAATCGCCGAAATAGCAAAATCCACAAATCTTCAGAAGTCCATAATCCTCAAATTCTCAGAACACCAAAATCCTCCAAACAGCGAAATCCTCTGATACTCAGAACTCCGTAATCCTGAAATCCTAAGAACAACGAAATTCCTAAATCCTCAGAACTCCATAATCCTCAAATCCTTAGAACATTAAAATCCTAAAATCCTAAAATCCTCAGAACACCAAAATCCTCAAATCCTCAGGACTCCATAATCCTCAAATCCTCATAACACCATAATACTTTAATCCCCAAAATACAAAAATTCTAAAATACTCAGAAATCCATTATACTCAAATCCTCGGAGCAGTGAAATCCTCAGAACACGAAAATCCTAAAATTCTCAGAACACCGAAATCCTCAAATCCTCAGGACTCCATAATACTCAAATGCTTAAAAGTCCATAATCCTCAAATCGTCAGAACTCCGTAATCCTCAAGTCCTTGAAATATCAAAATCAACAAACCCTCAGAACACCAAATCCCTCAAATCCTGAGAACACCAAATTGAGGATTTTGGAACAGCAAAATCCTCAACTCCTCAGAACAACGAAATTATCAAATCCTCAGAACTCCATAATCCTTAAATCCTCAGAACACCAAAGTCCTGAAATCCTCAAATCCTCAGAACCCCGTAATCCTCAGAACCCCGTAATCCTCAGATCCTCATAACACCATAATACTCAAATCCTCAAAACTCCATATCCCTCAAATCCTCAGAACTCCATAATCCTCAAATCCTTGAAACACCAAAATCCTCAAAACCTCAGAACTCCATAATCCTCAAATCCTGAGAACACCAAAATCCTCATGACAACATAATACTTAAATCTTCAAAACTCCCTAATCCTCAAATCCTTGGTACAACAAAAGCCTCAAATCCTCAGAACACCAAAATTTAAAAGTCCGGTTTACGTATTTTGAATTTTCGAAAAAAAATTTTTTGACGTTCTCAATTTTTAAATGTTTATTTATTTTAAAAATCTTTTTTTTTTTCAAAAACTCCACGCAAAGATAAAGCTAAAATCTAGGATCTTCTGCAATTCACAAGATTATTTTTTTTTTACGAAGAATCATCGTTTTTTTTTTTCAAAACCTAACGTAAAGGTAAATCTAAAATCTACGATCTTCTAGACTTCACAATATTAAATTTTTTTGAGAAGAATCATCGAATTTTAGTAGTTTTCGAATTCGAAACAAAAAAAATTTCGTTTTTTTTTTCAAATTGAATTTCAGAATTTTCAAAAAAAAAATACATTTTTTAGTTCATCAGTTCGATACAAAAGTGTCAAGGGTTCAGTTGACGGTATTTGAAGTTTCGAAAAAAAATTTTTTTTTTACGTTCTAAACTTTTTTAATACAAAAAAATCTTTGTTTTTTCAAAAAACCTAACGTAAAAATAAAGCTAAAATCTACGATCTTCTGGAATTCACAAGATTATTTTTTTTTTAACAAGAATCATCGGTTTTTTTTTCAAAACCTAACGTAAAGGTAAATCTAAAATCTACGATCTTCTGGACTTCACAAGATTAAATTTTTTACGAAGAATCATCGAATTTTAGTAGTTTTCGAATGCGAAACAAAAAAAATTTCGTTTTTTTTTTTCAAATTGAATTTCAGAATTTTCAAAAAAAAAATACATTTTTTAGTTCATCAGTTCGACACAAAAGTGTTAAGGGTTCAGTTGACGGGATCTGAAGTTTCGAAAAAAAATTTTTTTTGGCGTTCTAAAATTTTTTAATACAAAAAATCTTTTTTTTTTCAAAAAACCAAACGTAAAATAAAGCTAAAATCTACGATCTTCTGGAATTCACAAGATTTTTTTTTTACGAAGAATCATCGGTTTTTTTTTTCAAAACCTAACGTAAAGGTAAATCTAAAATCTACGATCTTCTGGACTTCACAAGATTAAATTTTTTCGAAGAATCATCGAATTTTACTAGTTTTAGAATCCGAAACAAAAAAAAATTCGTTTTTTTTTCAAATTGAATTTCAGAATTTAAAAAAAAAAATACATTTTTTAGTTCATCAGTTCGACACAAAAGTGTTAAGGGTTCAGTTGACGGTATCTGAAGTTTCGAAAAAAAAATTTTTTTTGAAGTTCTAAACTTTTTTAATGCAAAAAATCTTTCTTTTTTAAAAAAACCTAACCTAAAAATAAAGCTAAAATCTACGATCTTCTGGAATTCACAAGATTTTTTTTACGAAGAATCATCGGTTTTTTTTTTTCAAAACCTAACGCAAAGGTAAATCTAAAATCTACGATCTTCTGAACTTCACAAGATTAAATTTTTTACGAAGAATCATCGAATTTTACTAGTTTTCGAATTCGAAACAAAAAAAATTTCGTTTTTTTTTTTTTCAAATTGAATTTCCGAATTTTCAAAAAAAAAATAATTTTTTAGTTCATCAGTTCGGCACATAGTGTTAAGGGTCCAGTTGACGGTATCTGAAGTTTCGAAAAAAAATTTTTTGACGGTCTAAACTTTTTTAATTAAAAAAATCTTTTTTCAAAAAACCTAACGTAAAAATAAAGCTAAAATCTACGATCTTTTATTTTACGAAATTTATTTAAATATAGTTTAAGTTTCGAGTTTGGGGCAAATTTTGACGTTTTCGTAGGTATTTTCTTTTTTTCGGATTTTGGGTTAATATTTTTTAAATTATCGAAAATGTGAAATACTGCTCGAAATTTTCCATTTACCCAAAATATGCAGTTTTTCTACGGTATTTCGCTAATTTCCAGTCTACCAGGATTCAGAATTTTTTTAATGATCCGAATTTTAATGGCTGAAAATTTCAAAATTCCTCTAAAATAATTACTAATTTTTCAGAAATTTAGAGTACGCAGTTTCAGCCATCTGTCTGTACATAAATAAAAAATTAAATCTTAAGTTTTAATGTCTTGAATGATTTATACTCTCCCTTTTTGAGTAGAAAATCAACAAATTTTATTTATTTTGGAATTCGAAACATTTTTTTTAACTGCAGTTTTTAACATACATAATGCAAAACTTCAGAAGTTTAAATTTCTTCGTTAATTTTATTATTACATTCTTTAAAAACTGTAGCTATGAATGGAGGTCCACTAATCTTGAGTTTCGAAATTTGTCTAAATTATTGTCAGGTTTCAATTTTTTTGACGAGTTTTCAATTTTTCGTATTTTCTTATTTTTTATTTGGATATTTTAGTGTTTCACAATTTACAGATTTTAAGTTAATATTTTTAGTGAAATTGCCGAGAATTTAAACTGCAGTACGACGAAAATTTCCATTTTTGCCCAAAACATGCAATTTTTCTAAAATATGTCCTGATATTTCGCATAATTTCCGGTCTACTTTTTGAACTTTTAAAATAAGACGAATTCTAATGTCTGGAACTTTTTCAAAATTTACAGGAATAAAAAACTATTAGGTTCAATGATTTATAGTCTCATTTTTTTTATTTAAAAAGAATTATTGAATTTTACTTAATTTAGAAACTCAAATTTTAAATGTTACAATCTGCAACCCTCAATCTTGAGTTGACTTAGAATTTTTGAAATCGTCGATTTTTTGCCGATTTTTCAGTTTTTAGTATTTTCCATTTTTTGATTTGCTTTTTTAGGTTCTCACAATTTTCAAATTTTAGACGAAATTATCGAAAATTGAAGCTACAGTAATCAACTTAACTTTTTTCTTACCAAAGTCAAACTTAACATAAAAATAAACCGAATTTATAGATACAAGGTGGAAGTAGCCGGCAAAAGCCTCCCCGTCCTCACCAACCTCGACAAGGGCCGCTACGGCGTCATCGTCTTCGAGAACTTCAACAAGTACCTCCAGATGGACAAGTGGAACCGCGAACTCCTCGACAAGTACTGTCGCGAGTACTATGTCGGGATGATCGGCTTCATCACCCCCGAAGAGGAGACCTTCGTCGGTTCCCAGCTCAGGGGCTTTCCCTTGTTCATCCACACCAACCTTAAACTAAAAGTACGCCAAAATCTCACACCCTCCAACCCCCACTGTCAATCATTTCTCCCACAGGACGCCGCCTTGAACGCAGCCTCGCAGATCCTCCGCCTGACCCGCGCGGGCGAGACGGCCTGGGGGGAGCTTCCCGGAAACGACTGGACCGTCTTCCAGGCCAACCATTCCACGTACGAGGCGCTGGAATGGGCCCACAGGAACGACGACTACCAGCCCACGGAAAGTGAGTACTTTCTGAAATCTTAATTAATTTATCGATTATTTGCGCCCCAAATTGAATCAAGCTCTTGATTACTAAATGGATATTCGGTGTAAATAAGCAATTCACATTTTCATTAGCGCAGAAGCGAATTATCAGTTGATATATTATGATCGACTGTTTGAATTGTTGGTAATCGTTTGACGTTATCCATCAAAATCGCTTGTTCAAAGAAAAAAAAAAAACGTTCGTTGTGACAATTCTCCGTATCGATAATACTCTCGATTTCGCAAAAAAATTAAGGCTACATTTGTTTACCTAGAAGGCGAAGCCAGTTTTTATTGGACACTGGAATTGTTTAAACATTATACCTGCATCGAATGTCAAGGTCATAAAATAACACTACCTGTCGTCATGCGTTTAAGTGCTTGTTTTGCACCGAAAAACACAACTTGATTATTATTTAACGAGAGATTTGCATGTTATTTGAAAAATGTGAGTGTAATCCGAGGTGTTGTTATCTTGTAGACATTTAGTTAAGTTATGTGTAAATACAACGAATACTGTGATATTCAACTCCTACTATCATAAGCACGTGTCATAAAAACACCATCAAAACAAACACCATTTAATATGGATACGAGTCGTACGGAATGATTGCGGGCTTAATTTAATGTCTTCCGTGGCGAAGTGATTAATACCTAATTAAACGTAATTCAGTCGTGGTAATTACTTAGCCGCCTAATTAGTTTTTATGCAAATAGATTCGTAATCGGCCGACAGTTAAACCATAGATTAATATAGATGCGACATACAGGCTGATTTTGCAAAAGCACCCTTATTGACATTGGAGTCCTCAACCGCCAAATTTAAATAGTCGATGCCAAGTCTAAGTGAATATTTTTGGTACATATTTAGATGATTTTACATATTTTGTTTAACTAAGAATTAATTCTTTATTTGTGTTTTATACTAGCAAAACGTCTTAAACTAAGAATATTGTTGAAATCGTAATAACCCAATGGATTTTTTATCGGGAAAATGTTTTGGAAACACTGTTCTATTTTGTATGAATTTTTAAATGTTTTTAGTGACAATTTTTGTGGTTGTTTTCGATACACTGTATGATATTAACAGTGAGGAAAAAAATGAACAATTAAAATAATCGAAAATTCGAAAAATCGAGAAATCTAATAATCGAAGAACTGAAAATCAAAAAAATGTAAAATTTAAAAATCGAAACATAGCAAAACTGAGAATTCGAAAAATCAAAAGATCAAGAAATCGTGGAGTCGCAAAGTCGAACAATTTATAAATTGAGAAATTGACAATCAAGATGTCGAAAAATCCAAATCGAGAAATCAAAAAACCTAAAAATTCGAAAAATTAAAAAATTGAGAGATTGAAAGATCCAAACAAAGAACGAGAAATCGAAAAGCGATGAAGTCGAAAAATAGAGAAATCGACAAACAAAAGGTTAAAAGTTGAAAAATTGGAAAAGCGGAAAAATCAAAAAACGAAAAAATGGAAAACTGGAAAAACTGAGAAACCGAAGTAGGCCAAAATAAAAAATTGAAAAAATGATAAATAGAAAACCTGAACAATCAAAAAATTAAAGAATTGAAGAACAGGAAAATCGAAACACTCGAAGTTCAAGAAATGGGAAAATCAAAAATGAAAAATCAAGAAATCGAAAAATCAAAAATTTTAAACATTGAAAAATTAAAATATCAAAAAATTTAAAAATCTAAAATTTAAAACTCGAAAAATTGGGAAATCGAAAAAGTTAAAAATCGACATATCGAAACATCCAGAAGTCAGAAATCAGAAAGTCGAACAATCGAAAATCCGAAAATTGAAAAATGAAAGAAAAACTGAAAAATCCAAAAACTGAAAAATTGAGAAACTGAAAAATGTGAAAAGTGAAGTAAAATCGAAACTTTAAAAAATAGAAACATTGAAAAATCAGAAACCTGAAAAATTGAGAAATCGAAAAATCAAAAATTGAAACCCTAAATAAATCGAAGAAATGAAAAACAAAAATTTGAAATTGAGAATTTAAAAAGGGCAGAAATGAAAAATTGAAAAATCGAAAATTCGAAAAATTGAAAAACACAAGATTTAAAACCGGGAACTCCAAAAAATCGAAAGATTAAAAAATCGAAACATTTGAAAAATTCGAATACTGAATAATTGAAATATCGTAAAACTTAAATGAAAAATCAAGGAGTCGAAAAATCTAAAATTTTAAAAATGGAAAAATTGAGAAATCGAAAAAGTAAAAAAATCGACATATCGAAAAATCCAAAAGTCAAAAATCGAAAAATCAAAGATTCGAGATATTGAAAAATCCCAAAACTGAAATATCGAAAAACCGAAAAATGAAAGAGAACCTGATGAATGCAAAAACTGAAAAATCCGAAAACTGAAATATCCAAAACCTGAGAATTTAAAAAAATTAAAAAATTGAGAAATCGAATAATCAAAGAAGTAAACCCGAAAAATCGAAACCTTAAAAAAATCGAAAAATTGAACAAAACACCTGAAAAATCGAAATATTGAAGAATTGAAGAACAGGAAAATCGAAACACTCGAAAGTCACGAAATGGGAAAATCGAAAATTTGAAAAAATGACAATTGAAATCTAAAACCAGGAAGTCGAAAAATCAAAAGATTAAGAAATCGAAACATTTGAAAAATTCGAAAACTTGAAAAATTGAAATATCGAAGAACTGAAATGAAAAATCGGGAAATTGAAAAATCTAAAATTTAGAAATTAAAAAATCTAAAATCTAAAAATGGAAAAAATGATAAATCGAAAACCTGAACAATCAAATCTCGATAAATCGGGAATGAAAAATTAACAAATCGAAAAATTGAAAAACAGAACATCTAAAACCAGAAAGTCGAAAATAGAAAGATTAAGAATTATTGAAAAATTAAAATACCAAAAGATTGAAAAATCTAAAATTTAAAAATCCAAAAATTGAAAACTAGAAAAGCCGAAGAATTGAAACATTGAAAAATCCTAAAACTGAAATATCTAAAAATTGAAAAATCGAAAAATCAAAAAAGTGAAGTCGAAAAATAGAAATCTTAAAAAATCTAAAAATTGAAAAATCAGAACAGGAAAATCGAAACCCTCGAGAGTCAAGAAATGGGAAAATCAAAACATCGATTAATTGTAAAATCCAAAAATTGAAAATTTGACAAAATAACAATCGAAAAACAGAAAATCTAAAACCGGGAAGTCGAAAAATCAAAAGATTAAAATTCGAAAACTTGAAAAATTGAAATATCGAAGAACTGAAATGAAAAGTCGAGAAATCGAAAAATCAAAAAATCCAGGATTAAAAACTCGAAACGTCGTTGAATCGAAATATTGAAAAATCCCAAAACTGAAATATCGAAAAACTGAAAAATGGAAAACTAAATCGGGAAATCAAAACATTGAAAAATTGAAAAATTTAAAACGACAATTGAAAACAGAAAATCTAAAACCGGGAAGTCGAAAAATCGAAAAAGTCGAAGAATCAAAATATTAAAAAATCCCAAACCTAAAATATCGAAAAGCTGAAAAATGGAAAACCTGAAAAATCCGAAAACTGAAATATCCAAAAACTGAGAACCTAAAAAGTCGAAAAATTGAGCAATAGAAAAATCCAAAAAGTGAAGTCGAAAAATTGAAACCTTAAAAAAATAAAAAAATCAAAAATCAAAAACCTGAAAAATCGAAAAATTAAAGAATCGAAGAACAGGAATATCGAAACCCTCGAAAGTCAAGAAATGGGAAAATCAAAACATCGATTAATTGAAAAACCGAAAATTTGAAAAAACGACAATTGAAAAATAGAAAATCTAAAACCGGGAAGTCGAAAAATCGAAAGATTAAGAAATCGAAACATTTGAAAAATTGAAATATGGAAGAGCTGAAATGAAAAATCGAAAAATCTAAAATTTTAAATATTGAAAAATTAAAATACCAAAAAATTGAGAAATCTAAAATTTGAAAATCGAAAAAGTGAAAAGTCGACACATCCAAAAATCCAGAAATCAAAAATGGAAAAATCGAACAACAGAAATATTGAAAAATCCCAAAACTGAAATATGGAAAAACTGAAAAATGAAAGAAAAACTGACGAATTGAAAAACTGAAAAATCCCAAAACTGAAATATCGAAAAACTGAGAATCCAAAGAATCGAAAAATTGAGAAATCGAAAAATCAAAAAACTGAACTCAAAATATCGAAACCTTAAAAAAATCGAAAAATTGAAAAATCAAAAACCTGCAAAATCGTAAGATCGAAAAATTGAATAATAACTAAGCTGAAAAATCCCAAAACTGAAATGTCCAAAAACTGAGAAATTAAAAAATTGAAAAATTGCGAAATCGAAAAATTTTCTGAAAAATGTGAGAATACGCTGGTCTTTATAACAATAAAATAATTATAAGATAAGAATTATAATAATAACATTCAGAACATTTTGTTCAATGGAGGCTTATGAATAATTTTGGTCATCTGTTTTGTGGCGATAAACTCATTCAAATCAAACAAATGTCTACGTGACATTCTTCCGATGTAATGTATTCCCGTTGATAATGTGCTGTAAATAAATTTTTTACACTCATGACTTTTTTTTGATGACCTTGGCGCATTCAACATCACGCCCGGAAACGTCAAATCGCCAAGACCATTTTTTACGTATATTTTTATACAGGCAACGTGCGCACCCCCCTCCCCACCGTCATCCAGGACCACGGCCTCTTCGACAACATCCAGCGCGTCATCTTCGGCTCGGGCCTCAAGTTCTGGTTGCACCGCCTCCTCTTCCTCGACTCGCTCAGTTACCTCAGCCACGGCCAGCTCTCCCTGTCGCTCGATCGCATGTTCCTCGTAGACATCGACGACATCTTCGTCGGGGAAGTGGGCACGCGGCTGCGCCCCGAGGACGTGCGGGCCCTCATCGCCACCCAGACGCGCATCCAGGCGATGATCCCGCGCTTCAAGTTCAATCTGGGCTTCTCGGGCAAGTACTTCCACCACGGTAACAGCGAGGAGGACAAGGGCGACAACCTCATCCTCGAGAACATCGACAAGTTCATGTGGTTTTCGCACATGTGGAACCACCAGCAGCCACACCTCTACGACAACCTCACGGTGTTGATGGAGGATATGATGCTGAATAAGAACTTCGCCAAGGCCAAGGGGATCCCGGTGGACTCGGGCTACTCGGTGGCGCCGCACCACTCGGGGGTGTACCCGGTGCACGAGTTGCTGTACACGGCGTGGAAGAAGGTGTGGAATATTAGGGTGACGAGTACGGAGGAGTACCCGCATTTGAGGCCGGCGAGGTAGGTGATTGTGCAGCGGTTGTGGCGACTACTGTTTTATTGGTGGTAGGTTGAGGCGCGGGTTTATACATCGGAACATTATGGTGTTGCCGAGGCAGACTTGTGGCTTGTTCACCCATACCATGTTCATTGACAAGTACCCAGGAGGGAGGGAGAAACTCGACGAGTCAATCCAAGGAGGAGAACTATTCCAGACCATAGTCTACAACCCCGTAGGTGTCCTGGTTCGTGGATTAGTCAAAACTGACGTTTCGTGTTTCAGATCAACATCTTCATGACTCATATGTCGAACTACGGTAACGATAGGTTAGGTTTGTATACTTTCGAATCGGTGATAAAGTTCATCCAATGTTGGACCAACATTAAGCTTAGTTCGGCGCCTCCGCTCCAGCTCGCCGAAACCTACTTCAAGCTATATCCTGGTGAATCGGACCCGGTGTGGGGGGTGAGTTACCAAAACCCGTCGCGATCGACTAAATTAACCCATTTTCCCAGAACCCGTGCGACGACAGCAAACACCAGAAGATATGGTCGAAGAACAAGTCGTGCGACTCTCTCCCGAAATTCCTCGTAATCGGACCACAGAAGACTGGCACCACGGCTCTCTACACCTTCCTTTCTCTGCACCCAGCGATCGCCAGCAACCTCCCGAGCCCAGACACGTTCGAAGAGATCCAGTTTTTCAACGCCCACAACTACCTCAGGGGATTGGATTGGTAAGTCCTCTCTTTCCGCGTTTCGTGTCCTGTGAAACCGTTGTCCAGGTACATGAACTTCTTCCCCGTCGACGCCAACTCCTCAGCCCACTACTACTTCGAGAAGAGCGCGACGTACTTCGACGGCGAGCTCGTCCCCAAGCGGGTGCACGCCCTGCTGCCGCACGCCAAGCTCATCACCATCCTCATCTCCCCAGCCAAGCGCGCCTACTCCTGGTACCAGCACACTAAAACCCACGGCGACGTCATCGCCAACAACTACAGTTTCCACCAGGTGATCACGGCGAGCGACACGGCGCCCAAGCCGCTACGGGACCTGCGCAATCGGTGCCTTAACCCGGGGAAGTACGCGCAACACCTGGAGCGTTGGTTGACGTATTTCTCGCCGCAGTCGCTGCACATCATCGACGGCGAGGAGCTGAAGAGCAACCCGGTGGAAGTGATGAACGAGCTGCAAAAATTCCTGAAGATCACGCCCTTTTTCAACTACACGGAGCACCTGAGGTTCGACCCTAAGAAAGGGTTTTTCTGTCAGGTGGTGAGCGGGGACCACACGAAGTGTCTGGGGCGGAGCAAGGGGCGCCAGTACCCGCCCATGGAGGAGAAGTCGCTGAAGCTGCTGCAGAGGTATAGCGAGTTTGGGTTCGGTTATGAGTGTGTACGGTGTGTTTATAGGTATTATTTGAGCCACAACACGGCGCTGGTGAAGCTGATGAAGCGGATAGGGCTGCGGAACATCTCCAATTGGTTGAAGGAGGACCTGTCGGACTCGTCGGCTTAAGTACGAAAGTGGCTGGACAGTACGGTCGCTGATAAATTGAAATGACATATCACGTTTGAATTTAGGCAATATTCTAAAACTGAAATCAATTACGACGATTTTTTGAGGCGTTGGCCACTTTTCGTGTCGTAGGAATGTTTACGGTGTTTTAGATAGAACGTGCAATAGTTTTCCTTACGTCCATTATGTGAGCTTAATAGATGTTCTAAATGAAGTATACCTGCTAGGTTAGTTTCATTCAATTCCTCTTTAAGCATATCCATCGACTGAATGTACTATAAGCTTCATGCGTCCCGCGTGTACAAATAACGGCGGGACGGCAATTTCGTGTAATAATTGTGTATATATTTTATTTATATTTATAACTAATGTTCGTGCCATTTTTTGTACATATTACATTATTGAGTGTGGAGAGTACACATCACTGTTAGATATCTTCATGTCTATTTTATCAGATTGATGTATATTGCATGTAATTTATAACATTTTTGGATTCACACATTGATGTAAATATTGCATAGCTGTTAAAAGACGTAAATGACAATAAAAATATCAATATGCGCTACGTTGTTTGTTTTGGGACCGCTAGCGACCCCACATTTTCGCGGTCGCTGATTTATTTATCTGTCATCGGGACACTCGAGGTCGTTCCAGGCATGTCAACCAGAGAACATAGAGAAGCGTCATAGTTTAAATTAAATGACGGTTGAGGACTCCTCGACTTATGTTGGCAACAGTGTTTGTTTCTAACTATAGGAATAAAATTGACACTAGATTTACCAGAGTATTACACGCTGCTTACTGTTTCCTTCGCTTTAATTCAGGTCACATGAATTACGGTTCGTCGTCTGAACTCGTTTGATCTACAGACCACAGCGCACTCAAGCCAATGTCGACTCTAAGCGTACGGAAACGATTTGATTTATTAGCCATGATCCGTAATCTGATACACATCCTAACCGGTTTCGACCATAATTTCTTGCTGTTTTAACTTTCGAATTCTCAGTTTTTCGAAATTTTAGTTTGGAGATTTTTCAGTTTACTTCTATTTATTATTCAATTTTTGGATTTTACAATTTCTCAATTTTTCAAGTTCTCGGTTTTCAGTTTCTCTTCAATTTTACGGTTTTTAAATATTTCGATTTTTCAATTTTTGACTTTTATAAACTCTTTATTTGCCGATTTTTAAATTAATTGATTCTTCAGGTTTTTTTGTTTTTCAATTTTTTCAGGTTTCGATTTTTCAACTTTACTTTTTTGATTTTTCGATTTCTCAATTTTTCAATTTTTTAATTTCTCAGTTTTTGGACATTTCAGTTTTGGGATTTTTCAGTTTAGTTGTTATTCAATTTTTCGATCTTACGATTTTGCAGGTTTTTGATTTTTCAATTTTTCGATTTTTTTAAGGTTTCGATATTTTGACTTCACTTTTTTGATTTTTCGATTCTTTGGATTCTCAGCTTTTGGATATTTCGGTTTTGGGTTTTTTCAGTTTTTCGATTCGTCAGTTTTTCTTTCATTTTTCAGTTTTTCAATATCTCAGTTTTGGGATTTTTCAATATTTCTGTTCCTCGACTTTTTTGACTTCTGGATTTTTCGATGTGTCGACTTTTTACTTTTTCTATTTTTAAATTTTAGATTTCTCAGTTTTTTGCTATTTTAATTTGTCAATATTTAAAATTTTCGATTTCTCGATTTTTCATTCCAGTTCTTCGATATTTCCGTTTTTCATGTTTTCGAATTTTTCAAATGTTTTGATTTCTTAACCTATCGATTTTTCGACTTCCCGGTTTTAGATTTTCTGTTTTTCAGTGGTCGTTTTTTTTAATTTTCGATTTTTCAAATTTATAAACTGTCAATTTTTCGATTTTACAATTAATCGATGTTTTCATTTTCCCATTTCTTGACTTTCGAGGGTTTCGATATTCCTGTTATTTAATTCTTTAATTTTTCGATTTTTCATTTTTTAGTTTTTTTAAGGTTTCGGTTTTTCTACTTCACTTTTTGGATTTTTCGGGTTTTCCATTTTTCAGTTTCTCTCTCATTTTTCAGTTTTTCGACTTTTCGATTTTTGAGTCCTGGATTTTTCGAAAATGTGTCGATTATTTTACTTTTTCGATTTTTTCAAATTTTTGATTTTTTAATTTTTAAAATTAAAAAATCGATTTTCGATTTCTCGATTTTTAAGTTCACTTCTTCGATATTTGAATTTTTCAAGTTTTCGAATTTTTCAAAGGTTTCGATTTCTTAATCTTTTGATTTTTCCACTTCCCCGTTTTGGATTTTCTGTTTTTCAATTGTCATTTTGTCAAATTTTCGATTTTTTAATTTTTCAAATTTGACTTTTATAAACTCTTTACTTGTCGATTTTTAAATTGATTCTTCAGGTTTTTTTGTTTTTCAATTTTTTCAGGTTTCGATTTTTCAACTTCACTTTTTTGATTTTTCGATTTCTCAATTTTTCAATTTTTTAATTTCTCAGTTTTTGGACATTTCAGTTTTGGGATTTTTCAGTTTAGTTGTTATTCAATTTTCCGATCTTATGATGTTGCAGGTTTTTGATTTTTCAATTTTTCGATTTTTTTAAGGTTTCGATATTTTGACTTCACTTTTTTGATTTTTCGATTCTTTGGATTCTCAGCTTTTAGATATTTCGGTTTTGGGATTTTTCAATTTTTCGATTCGTCAGTTTTTCTTTTATTTTTCAGTTTTTCAATATTTCAGTTTTGGGATTTTTCAATATTTCTGTTCCTCGACTTTTTTGACTTCTGGATTTTTCGATGTGTCGACTTTTTACTTTTTTAAATTTTAGATTTCTCAGTTTTTTGCTATTTTAATTTTTTAATATTTAAAATTTTCGATTTTTCATTCCAGTTCTTCGATATTTCCGTTTTTCATGTTTTCGAATTTTTCAAATGTTTTGATCTAAACCTATCGATTTTTCAACTTCCTGGTTTTAGATTTTCTGTTTTTCAATTGTCGTTTTTTTAAATTTTCGATTTTTCAAATTTATAAACTGTCAATTTTTCGATTTTACAATTTATCGATTTTTCATTTTTTAGTTTTTTTAAGGTTTCGGTTTTTCTACTTCACTTTTTGGATTTTTCGATTGCTCAATTTGTCGACTTTTTAGGTTCTCAGTTTTTGGATTTTTCGGGTTTTCCATTTTTCAGTTTCTCTCTCATTTTTCAGTTTTTCGACTTTTCGATTTTTGAGTCCTGGATTTTTCGAAATGTGTCGATTATTTTACTTTTTCAATTTTTTCAAATTTTAGATTTTTTAATTTTTAAAATTAAAAAATCGATTTTCGATTTCTCGATTTTTAAGTTCACTTCGTCAATATTTGAATTTTTCAAGTTTTCGAATTTTTCAAAGGTTTCGATTTCTTAATCTTTTGATTTTTCGACTTCCCCGTTTTGGATTTTCTGTTTTTCAATTGTCATTTTGTCAAATTTTCGATTTTTTAATTTTTCAAATTTGACTTTTATAAACTCTCAATTTTTCGATTTTTCAATTAATCGATGTTTTGATTTTCCCATTTCTCGACCTTCGAGTGTTTCGATTTTCCTGTTCTTCAATTCTCTAATTTTTTGATTTTTCAATATTTCATTCATTCATATTTTTTAGAAAAACTGCATGTTTTGGGCAAAAATGAAAATTTTCGTCTTACTGCAGTTTAAATTCTCGGTAATTTTATCAAAAATATTAACTTCAAATCTGTAATCGTGAGACGCTAAAAAATCCAAAATTTCGCATTCCAAAATAAATAAAATTCGTTGATTCTCTACACAAAAAAAAAGTAAGAGTATAAATCATTCAAGACATTAAAACTTAACATTTAATTTTTTATTCATGCACAGTAATTATTTTTGAGGAATTTTGAAATTTTCAGCCATTAAAATTCGAATTATTAAAAAAATCCTGAATCCTGGTAGACTGGAAATTAGGCGAAATACCGTAGAAAAATGCATATTTTGGATAAATGGAAAACTTTGTGCAATATTTCAAATTTTCGATAATTTCAAAAATATTAACCTAAAATCCGAAAAAAAAGAAAATACATACGAAAACGCCAAAATTTGCCTCAAACTCGAAACTTAAACTTCATTTAGATAAATTTCGTAAAATAAAAAAAGTTTTGAAGATTTTTTATGATTTTTCAGGTTTTTGATTTTTCAACTTCACTTTTTTGATTTTTCAATATTTCAATTCGTCGGCTTTTCTATTTTTGACTTCTGGATTTTTCGATGTATCTACCTTTTTACTTTTCGATTTTTAAATTTTAGATTTTTCAATCTTTTGATGTTTTAATTTTTCAGTATTTCTTAATCTTTCGATTTTTCGACTTCCTCCTTTTAGATGTTCTGTTTTTCAATTTTTCGATTTGTTAATTTTTCATTTCCGATTTATCGAGATTTGATTGTTCAGGTTTTCGATTTATCAGTTTTTAAATTTTTTATTTTGGCCTCTTTCGGTTTCTCAGTTTTTCCAGCTTTCCATTTTTTCGTTTTTTGATTTTTCCGCCTTTCCAACTTTTCAACTTTTAACTTTTTGTTGTCGATTTCTCTATTTTTCGATTTTTCGACTTCATCACTTTTCGATTTCTCGTTCATTTGATCTTTCAATCTGTCAAGTTTTTGGATTTGTCGATTTATCGGGATTTGGATTTTTCGATATTTTGATTGTCAATTTCTCAATTGTTCAATTTTTAACTGTTCGATTTTCGATTTTAGCCAATTTCGGTCTCTCAATTGTTCGACTTTTCGACTCCACGATTTCTTGATCTTTTGATTTTTCGATTTCTCGGTTTTTCGATTTTCCAGTCTTTCGATATTTCGATTTTTCAATGTTTCGGTTTTACGATTTTTTAAACTTTCGATTTTTCTATTATTAGATTTCTACATTTTTCGAATTTTCGATTATTTTAATTTTTCATTTTTTTTTTCTCACTGTTATTAATATCATACAAAAATTGTCACTAATAAAAACATTTAAAAATTCATACAAAATAGAACAGTGTTTCCAAAACATTTTCCCGAAAAAAATCCGTTGAGTTATTACGATTTCAACAATATTCTTAGTTTAAGACGTTTTGCTAGTATAAAACAAATAAAGAATTAATTCTTAGTTAAACGAAATATGTATAATCATTATTGGCATCGACTATTTAAATTTGGCGCTTGCCTTTGGCGGTTGAGGACTCCAATGTCAATATATTATTTTTCAAAATGGGCGCGAAGGTCAAGGACACGCAAAACCCAAAAATTTACTCTTAACTGTGTAGTTTAGTATTTTTTTACACCTCCTTATTTTACTTTATCGACAATGCAATAGTGACTGATCTGTCACTTGAAACGTCAAGAGCCGCATTAATTTTGAATCATTTCTATGAGCGCGTTCTATCGCAATATTTATGATAGATTATGTTCTTACGGAGTGGGGAAGTTAGAACTACAACTTAAAAGCACCCAGCAGAGATCCTAAAGGAACAGATTTATAAATATGCCCAGGATAAATGGTATGGCAGTGACGAGAGCAAGAGGAATTATCCACCTATTTTTCAATATTCCTACCACTGTCAGTATAATCCAATTGAACTGGCGACTCTCTCCCGAAATTCCTCGTAATCGGACCACAGAAGACTGGCACCACGGCTTTCTACACCTTCCTTTCTCTGCACCCAGCGATCGCAAGCAACCTCCCGAGTCCAGATACGTTCGAAGAAATCCAGTTTTTCAACGCCCACAACTACCTCAGGGGATTGGATTGGTAAGTCCTCGCTCTTTCGGCGTTTCGTGTCTGAAACCGTTCTCCAGGTACATGAACTTCTTCCCCGTCGACGCCAACTCCTCAGCCCACTACTACTTCGAGAAGAGTGCGACGTACTTCGACGGCGAGCTCGTCCCCAAGCGGGTGCACGCCCTGCTGCCGCACGCCAAGCTCATCACCATCCTCATCTCCCCAGCCAAGCGCGCCTACTCCTGGTACCAGCACACTAAAACCCACGGCGACGTCATCGCCAACAACTACAGTTTCCACCAGGTGATCACGGCGAGCGACACGGCGCCCAAGCCGCTACGGGACCTGCGCAATCGGTGCCTTAACCCGGGGAAGTACGCGCAACACCTGGAGCGTTGGTTGACGTATTTCTCGCCGCAGTCGCTGCACATCATCGACGGCGAAGAGCTGAAGAGCAACCCGGTGGAAGTGATGAACGAGCTGCAGAAATTCTTGAAGATCACGCCCTTTTTCAACTACTCGGAGCACCTGAGGTTCGACCCTAAGAAAGGGTTTTTCTGTCAGGTGGTGAGCGGGGACCACACCAAGTGTCTGGGGCGGAGCAAGGGGCGCCAGTACCCGCCCATGGAGGAGAAGTCGCTGAAGCTGCTGCAGAGGTATAGCGAGTTTGGGTTCGGTTATGAGTGTGTACGGTGTATTTATAGGTATTATTTGAGCCACAACACGGCGCTGGTGAAGCTGATGAAGCGGATAGGGCTGCGGAACATCTCCAATTGGTTGAAGGAGGACCTGTCGGACTCGTCGGCTTAAGTACGAAAGTGGCTGGACAGTACGGTCGCTGATAAATTGAAATGACATATCACGTTTGAATTTAGGCAATATTCTAAAACTGAAATCAATTACGACGATTTTTTGAGGCGTTGGCCACTTTTCGTGTCGTAGGAATGTTTACGGTGTTTTAGATAGAACGTGCAATAGTTTTCCTTACGTCCATTATGTGAGCTTAATAGATGTTCTAAATGAAGTATACCTGCTAGGTTAGTTTCATTCAATTCCTCTTTAAGCATATCCATCGACTGAATGTACTATAAGCTTCATGCGTCCCGCGTGTACAAATAACGGCGGGACGACAATTTCGTGTAATAATTGTGTATATATTTTATTTATATTTATAACTAATGTTCGTGCCATTTTTTGTACATATTACATTATTGAGTGTGGAGAGTACACATCACTGTTAGATATCTTCATGTCTATTTTATCAGATTGATGTATATTGCATGTAATTTATAACATTTTTGGATTCACACATTGATGTAAATATTGCATAGCTGTTAAAAGACGTAAATGACAATAAAAATATCAATATGCGCTAAGTTGTTTGTTTTGGGACCGCTAGCGACCCCACATTTTCGCGGTCGCTGCTTTATTTATCTGTCATCGAGACACTCAAGGTCGTTCCAGGCATGTCATAACCAGAGAACATAGAGAAGCGTCATAGTTTAAATTAAATGACTGTTGAGGACTCAAAATTGACACTAGATTTACCAGAATATTACAAGCTGCTTACTGTTTCCTTCGCTTTAATTCAGGTCACATGAATTACGGTTCGTCGTCTGCGAACTCGTTTGATCTACAGACCACAGCGCACTCAAGCCAATGTCGACTCTAAGCGTACGGAAACGATTTGATTTATTAGCCATGATCCGTAATCTGATACATGGTAGAAGAATCTGATACACATCCTAACCGGTTTCGACCATAATTTCTTGCTGGATTAACTTTCGAATTCTCAGTTTTTCGAAATTTTAGTTTGGGGATTTTACAGTTTACTTCTATTTATTATTCAATTTTTGGATTTTACAATTTTACGGCTTTTAAATATTTCGATTTTTCAATTTTTGACTCTCTCTTTATTTGTCGATTTTTAAATTAATTGATTCTTCAGGTTTTTTGTTTATTCAATTTTTTCAGGTTTCGATTTTTCACTTAATTTTTTTAATTTTTCGATTTCTCAATTTTTCAATTTTTTAATTTCTCAGTTTTTGGACATTTCAGTTTTGGGATTTTTCAGTTTAGTTGTTATTCAATTTTTCGATCTTACGATTTTGTAGGTTTTTGATTTTTCGATTCTTTGGATTCTCAGCTTTTGGATATTTCGGTTTTGGGATTTTTCAATTTTTCGATTCGTCAATTTTTCTTTCATTTTTCAGTTTTTCAATATTTCAGTTTGGGGATTTTTCAATATTTCTGTTCCTCGACTTTTTTGACTTCTGGATTTTTCGATGTGTTGACTTTTTAAATTTTAGATTTCTCAGTTTTTTGCTATTTTAATTTTTCAATATTTAAAATTTTCGATTTCTCGATTTTTCATTCCAGTTCTTCGATATTTCCGTTTTTCATGTTTTCGAATTTTTCAAATGTTTTGATTTCTTAACCTATCGATTTTTCGACTTCCCGGTTTTAGATTTTCTGTTTTTCAGTTGTCGTTTTTTTAAATTTTGGATTTTTCAAATTTATAAACTGTCAATTTTTCGATTTTACAATTAATCGATGTTTTGATTTTCCCATTTCTTGACTTTCGAGGGTTTCGATATTCCTGTTCTTCAATTCTTTAATTTTTCATTTTTTAGTTTTTTTAAGGTTTCGGTTTTTCTACTTCACTTTTTGGATTTTTCGGGTTTTCCATTTTTCAGTTTCTCTCTCATTTTTCAGTTTTTCGACTTTTCGATTTTTGAGTCCTGGATTTTTCGAAATGTGTCGATTATTTTACTTTTTCAATTTTTTCAAATTTTAGATTTTTTAATTTTTAAAATTAAAAAATCGATTTTCGATTTCTCGATTTTTCAGTTCACTTCTTCGATATTTGAATTTTTCAAGTTTTCGAATTTTTCAAAGGTTTCGATTTCTTAATCTTTTGATTTTTCGACTTCCCCGTTTTGGATTTTCTGTTCTTCAATTGTCATTTTGTCAAATTTTCGATTTTTTAATTTTTCAAATTTGACTTTTATAAACTCTCAATTTTTCGATTTTTCAATTAATCCATGTTTTGACTTTCCCATTTCTCCGCCTTCGAATGTTTCGATTTTCCTGTTCTTCAATTCTCTAATTTTTTTATTTTTCAGGTTTTTGATTTTTCAATTTTTCGATTTTTCAGTTTTAGGATTTTTCAATATTTCATTCATTCATATTTTTTAGAAAAACTGCATGTTTTGGGCAAAAATGAAAATTTTCGTCTTACTGCAGTGTAAATTCTCGGTAGTTTTATCAAAAATATTAACTTCAAATCTGTAAATCGTGAGACGCTAAAAAATCCAAAATTTCGAATTCCAAAATAAATAAAATTCGTTGATTCTCTACACAAAAAAAGGGAGAGTATAAATCATTCAAGACATTAAAACTTAACATTTAATTTTTTATTCATGCACAGTAATTATTTTTGAGGAATTTTGAAATTTTCAGCCATTAAAATTCGAATTATTAAAAAAATCCTGAATCCTGGTAGACTGGAAATTAGGCGAAATACCGTAGAAAAATGCATATTTTGGATAAATGGAAAACTTTGTGCAATATTTCAAATTTTCGATAATTTCAAAAATATTAACCTAAAATCCGAAAAAAAAGAAAATACATAGAAAACGCCCAAATTTGCCTCAAACTCGAAACTTCATTTAGATAAATTTCGTAAAATAAAAAAAGTTTTGAAGATTTTTTATGATTTTTCAGGCTTTTGATTTTTCAATTTTTCGATTTTTTAAGGTCTTTTGATTTTTGGACTTCACTTTTTTGGTTTTTCGATTTTTCAGTTTTTAGATATTTCAGTTTTAGGATTTTTCAATATTTCAGTTCTTCGGCTTTTCTATTTTTGGATTTTTAAATTTTAGATTTTTCAATCTTTTGATGTTTTAATTTTTCAGTATTTCTTAATCTTTCGATTTTTCGACTTCCTGGTTTTAGATGTTCTGTTTTACAATTTTTCGATTTGTTAATTTTTCATTCCCGATTTATCGAGATTTGATTGTTCAGGTTTTCGATTTCTCAATTTTTCAATTTTTTAATTTCTCAGTTTTTGGACATTTCAGTTTTGGGATTTTTCAGTTTAGTTGTTATTCAATTTTTCGATCTTACGATTTTGCAGGTTTTTAATTTTTCGATTTTTTTAAGGTTTCGATATTTTTTCACTTTTTTGATTTTTCGATTCTTTGGATTCTCAGCTTTTGGATATTTCGGTTTTGGGATTTTTCAATTTTTCGATTCGTCAGTTTTTCTTTAATTTTTCAGATTTTCAATATTTCAGTTTTGGGATTTTTCAATATTTCTGTTCCTCGACTTTTTTGACTTCTGGATTTTTCGATGTGTCGACTTTTTACTTTTTCGATTTTTAAATTTTAGATCTCAGTTTTTTGCTATTTTAATTTTTCAATATTTAAAATTTTCGATTTCTCGATTTTTCATTCCAGTTTTTCGATATTTCCGTTTTTCATGTTTTCGAATTTTTCAAATGTTTTGATTTCTTAACCTATCGATTTTTCGACTTCCTGGTTTTAGATTTTCTGTTTTTCAATTGTCGTTTTTTTAAATTTTCGATTTTTCAAATTTATAAACTGTCAATTTTTCGATTTTACAATTAATCGATGTTTTCATTTTCCCATTTCTTGACTTTCGAGGGTTTCGATATTCCTGTTCTTCAATTCTTTAATTTTTCGATTTTTCATTTTTTAGTTTTTTTAAGGTTTCGGTTTTTCTACTTCACTTTTTGGATTTTTCGGGTTTTCCATTTTTCAGTTTCTCTCTCATTTTTCAGTCTTTCGACTTTTCGATTTTTGAGTCCTGGATTTTTCGAAATGTTTCGATTATTTTACTTTTTCAATTTTTTCAAATTTTAGATTTTTTAATTTTTAAAATTAAAAAATCGATTTTCGATTTCTCGATTTTTCAGTTCACTTCTTCGATATTTGAATTTTTCAAGTTTTCGAATTTTTCAAAGGTTTCGATTTCTTAATCTTTTGATTTTTCCACTTCCCCGTTTTGGATTTTCTGTTTTTCAATTGTCATTTTGTCAAATTTTCGATTTTTTAATTTTTCAAATTTGACTTTTATAAACTCTTTATTTGTCGATTTTTAAATTGATTCTTCAGGTTTTTTTGTTTTTCAATTTTTTCAGGTTTCGATTTTTCAACTTCACTTTTTTGATTTTTCGATTTCTCAATTTTTCAATTTTTTAATTTCTCAGTTTTTGGACATTTCAGTTTTGGGATTTTTCAGTTTAGTTGTTATTCAATTTTTCGATCTTACGATTTTGCAGGTTTTTGATTTTTCAATTTTTCGATTTTTTTAAGGTTTCGATATTTTGACTTCACTTTTTTGATTTTTCGATTCTTTGGATTCTCAGCTTTTGGATATTTCGGTTTTGGGATTTTTCAATTTTTCGATTCGTCAGTTTTTCTTTCATTTTTCAGTTTTTCAATATTCCAGTTTTGGGATTTTTCAATATTTCTGTTCCTCGACTTTTTTGACTTCTGGATTTTTCGATGTGTCGACTTTTTACTTTTTTAAATTTTAGATTTCTCAGTATTTTGCTATTTTTATTTTTCAATATTTAAAATTTTCGATTTCTCGATTTTTCATTCCAGTTCTTCGATATTTCCGTTTTTCATGTTTTCGAATTTTTCAAATGTTTTGATTTCTTAACCTATCGATTTTTCGACTTCCTGGTTTTAGATTTTCTGTTTTTCAATTGTCGTTTTTTTAAATTTTCGATTTTTCAAATTTATAAACTGTCAATTTTTCGATTTTACAATTAATCGATGTTTTCATTTTCCCATTACTTGACTTTCGAGGGTTTCGATATTCCTGTTCTTCAATTCTTTAATTTTTCGATTTTTCATTTTTTAGTTTTTTTAAGGTATCGGTTTTTCTACTTCACTTTTTGGATTTTTCGATTGCTTAATTTGTCGACTTTTTAGGTTCTCAGTTTTTGGATTTTTCGGGTTTTCCATTTTTCAGTTTCTCTCTCATTTTTCAGTTTTTCGACTTTTCGATTTTTGAGTCCTGGATTTTTCGAAAATGTGTCGATTATTTTACTTTTTCGATTTTTTCAAATTTTAAATTTTTTAATTTTTAAAATTAAAAAATCGATTTTCGATTTCTCGATTTTTCAGTTCACTTCTTCGATATTTGAATTTTTCAAGTTTTCGAACTTTTCAAAGGTTTCGATTTCTTAATCTTTTGATTTTTCGACTTCCCCGTTTTGGATTTTCCGTTTTTCAATTGTCATTTTGTCAAATTTTCGATTTTTCAATTAATCGATGTTTTGATTTTCCCATTTCTCGACCTTCGAGTGTTTCGATTTTCCTGTTCTTCAATTCTCCAATTTTTTGATTTTTCAATATTTCATTCATTCATATTTTTTAGAAAAACTGCATGTTTTGGGCAAAAATGAAAATTTTCGTCTTACTGCAGTTTAAATTCTCGGTAATTTTATCAAAAATATGAACTTCAAATCTGTAAATCGTGAGACGCTAAGAAATCCAAAATTTCGAATTCCAAAATAAATAAAATTCGTTGATTCTCTACACAAAAAAAGGGAGAGTATAAATCATTCAAGACATTAAAACTTAACATTTAATTTTTTATTCATGCACAGTAATTATTTTTGAGGAATTTTGAAATTTTCAGCCATTAAAATTCGAATTATTAAAAAAATCCTGAATCCTGGTAGACTGGAAATTAGGCGAAATACCGTAGAAAAATGCATATTTTGGATAAATGGAAAACTTTGTGCAATATTTCAAATTTTCGATAATTTCAAAAATATTAACCTAAAATCCGAAAAAAAAGAAAATACATACGAAAACGCCAAAATTTGCCTCAAACTCGAAACTTAAACATCATTTAGATAAATTTCGTAAAATAAAAAAAGTTTTGAAGATTTTTTATGATTTTTCAGGTTTTTGATTTTTCAATTTTTCGATTTTTTAGGGTCTTTTGATTTTTCGACTTCACTTTTTTGGTTTTTCGATTTTTCAGTTTTTAGATATTTCAGTTTTAGGAATTTTCAATGTTTCAATTCTTCGGCTTTTCTATTTTTGACTTCTGGATTTTTCGATGTGTTTACCTTTTTACTTATTCGATTTTTCAATTTTTGGATTTTTAAATTTTAGATTTTTCAATCTTTTGATGTTTTAATTTTTCATTATTTCATAATCTTTCGATTTTTCGACTTCTTCCTTTAGATGTTCTGTTTTTCAATTTTTCGATTTGTTAATTTTTCATTCCCGATTTATCGAGATTTGATTGTTCAGGTTTTCGATTTCTCAATTTTTCAATTTTTTAATTTCTCAGTTTTTGGACATTTCAGTTTTGGGATTTTTCAGTTTAGTTGTTATTCAATTTTTCGATCTTACGATGTTGCAGGTTTTTGATTTTTCAATTTTTCGATTTTTTTAAGGTTTCGATATTTTGACTTCACTTTTTTTATTTTTCGATTCTTTGGATTCTCAGCTTTCGGAAATTTCGGTTTTGGGTTTTTTCAATTTTTCGATTCGTCAGTTTTTCTTTCATTTTTCAGTTTTTCAATATTTCAGTTTTGGGATTTTTCAATATTTCTGTTACTCGACTTTTTTGACTTCTGGATTTTTCGATGTGTCGACTTTTTACTTTTTTAAATTTTAGATTTCTCAGTTTTTTGCTATTTTAATTTTTCAATATTTAAAATTTTCGATTTCTCGATTTTTCATTCCAGTTCTTCGATATTTCCGTTTTTCATGTTTTCGAATTTTTCAAATGTTTTGATTTCTTAACCTATCGATTTTTCGACTTCCTGGTTTTAGATTTTCTGTTTTTCAATTGTCGTTTTTTTAAATTTTCGATTTTTCAAATTTATAAACTGTCAATTTTTCGATTTTACAATTAATCGATGTTTTCATTTTCCCATTTCTTGACTTTCGAGGGTTTCGATATTCCTGTTCTTCAATTCTCTAATTTTTCGATTTTTCATTTTTTAGTTTTTTAAGGTTTCGGTTTTTCTACTTCACTTTTTGGATTTTTCGATTGCTCAATTTGTCGACTTTTTAGGTTCTCAGTTTTTGGATTTTTCGGGTTTTCCATTTTTCAGTTTCTCTCTCATTTTTCAGTTTTTCGACTTTTCGATTTTTGAGTCCTGGATTTTTCGAAAATGTGTCGATTATTTTTCCTTTTCGATTTTTTCAAATTTTAGATTTTTTAATTTTTAAAATTAAATAATCGATTTTCGATTTCTCGATTTGAACAGTTCACTTCTTCGATATTTGAATTTTTCAAGTTTTCGAATTTTTCAAAGGTTTCGATTTCTTAATCTTTTGATTTTTCGACTTCCCCGTTTTGGATTTTCTGTTTTTCAATTGTCATTTTGTCAAATTTTCGATTTTTTAATTTTTCAAATTTGACTTTTATAAACTTTCAATTTTTCGATTTTTCAATTAATCGATGTTTTGATTTTCCCATTTCTCGACCTTCGAGTGTTTCGATTTTCCTGTTCTTCAATTCTCTAATTTTTTGATTTTTCAGGTTTTTCATTTTTCAATTTTTCGAATTTTCAATATTTCATTCATTCATATTTTTTAGAAAAACTGCATGTTTTGGGCAAAAATGAAAATTTTCGTCTTACTGCAGTTTAAATTCTCGGTAATTTTATCAAAAATATTAACTTCAAATCTGTAAATCGTGAGACGCTAAAAAATCCAAAATTTCGAATTCCAAAATAAATAAAATTCGTTGATTCTCTACACAAAAAAAGGGAGAGTATAAATCATTCAAGACATTAAAACTTAACATTTAATTTTTATTCATGCACAGTAATTATTTTTGAGGAATTTTGAAATTTTCAGCCATTAAAATTCGAATTATTAAAAAAATCCTGAATCCTGGTAGACTGGAAATTAGGCGAAATACCGTAGAAAAATGCATATTTTGGATAAATGGAAAACTTTGTGCAATATTTCAAATTTTCGATAATTTCAAAAATATTAACCTAAAATCCGAAAAAAAAAGAAAATACATACGAAAACGCCAAAATTTGCCTCAAACTCGAAACTTAAACTTCATTTAGATAAATTTCGTAAAATAAAAAAAGCAAGTTTTGAAGATTTTTTAATCTTTTGATTTTTCGACTTCCCGGTTTTAGATTTCTGTTTTTCGATTGTCATTTTGTCAAATTTTCGATTTTTTAATTTTTCAAATTTGACTTTTATAAACTCTCAATTTTTCGATTTTTCGAGTGTTTCGATTTTCCTGTTCTTCAATTCTTTAATTTTTTGATTTTTCGGGTTTTTGATTTTTCAATGTTTCGATTTTTTAAGATTTCTATTTTTCGACTTCCCTTTTTGGATTTTTCGATTTTTCAGTTTTAGGATTTTTCAATATTTCAATTCTTCGGCTGTACTATTTTTGACTTCTGGGTTTTTCGATGTGTCAACCTTTTTACTTTTTCGATTTTTCAATTTTTGGATTTTTAAATTTTACATTTTTCAGTATTTCTTAATCTTTCTATTTTCGATTTCCTGTTTTAGATGTTCTGTTTTTCAATTTTTCGATTTATCATTTTTTTTTATTTTGGCCTATTTCGGTTTCTCAGTTTTTCCAGTTTTCCATTTTTTCGTTTTTGTTTGTCGATTTCTCTATTTTTCGACTTCATCACTTTTCGATTTCTCGTTCTTTGGATCTTTCAATTTCTCAATTTTTCGAGTTTTTAAGTTTTTTGTTTTCCCGATTTATCAAGATTTGGATTTTTCGACATTTTGATTGTCAATTTCTCAATTTATAAATTGTTCAATTTTTAACTTTTCGATCTTTCGATTTTTCAGGAATGGAAACTTTGTGCAATATTTCAAATTTTCGATAATTTCAAAAATATTAACCTAAAATCCGAAAAAAAAAGAAAATACATACGAAAACGCCAAAATTTGCCTCAAACTCGAAACTTAAACATCATTTAGATAAATTTCGTAAAATAAAAAAAGTTTTGAAGATTTTTTATGATTTTTCAGGTTTTTGATTTTTCAATTTTTCGATTTTTTAAGGTCTTTTGATTTTTCAACTTCACTTTTTTGATTTTTCAATATTTCAATTCGTCGGCTTTTCTATTTTTGACTTCTGGATTTTTCGATGTGTCTACCTTTTTACTTTTTCGATTTTGCAATTTTTGGATTTTTAAATTTTGATGTTTTAATTTTTCAATATTTCTTAATCTTTCGATTTTTCGACTTCCTGGTTTTAGATGTTCAGTTTTTCAATTTTTCGATTTGTTAATTTTTCATTCCCGATTTATCGAGATTTAATTGTTCAGGTTTTCGATTTATCAGTTTTTCAATTTTTTATTTTTCCGCTTTTCCAACTTTTCAACTTTTAACTTTTTGATGTCGATTTCTCTAATTTTCGATTTTTCGACTTCATCACTTTTCGATTTCTCGTTCATTTGATCTTTCAATCTGTCAAGTTTTTGGATTTGTCGATTTATCGGGATTTGGATTTTTCGATATTTTGATTGTCAATTTCTCAATTTATAAATTGTTCAATTTTTAACTGTTCGATTTTCGATTTTAGCCAATTTCGGTCTCTCAATTGTTCGACTTTTCGACTCCACGATTTCTTGATCTTTTGATTTTTCGATTTCTCGGTTTTTCGATTTTCCAGTCTTTCGATATTTCGATTTTTCAATTATTAGATTTCTACATTTTTCGAATTTTCGATTATTTTAATTTTTCATTTTTTTCTCTCACTGTTAATATCATACAAAAATTGTCACTACAAAAACATTTAAAAATTCATACAAAATAGAACAGTGTTTCCAAAACATTTTCCCGAAAAAAATCCATTGGGTATTACGATTTCAACAATATTCTTAGTTTAAGACGTTTTGCTAGTATAAAACACAAATAAAGAATTAATTCTTAGTTAAACGAAATATGTATAATCATTATTGGCATCGGCTATTTAAATTTGGCGCTTGAGGACTCCAATGTCAATAAGAGTGGTTTTGCAAAATCAGCCTGTATGTCGCATCTATATTAATCTATGTCATAACCTCACTTTCGTCATGCCACGAAGAAAAGTGGCTTTTGTTCACCCCGATCTGGGTATCGGGGGCGCCGAAAGGCTGGTCTTGGACGTAGCCGGCGCCCTAGCAAGCCAAGGAGACGAAGTCATCTTCTTAACCAACCACTTCGACAAAAGCCATGCCTTCGAAGAACTGAAAAGGGGCGACTTCCCCGTGTACGTGTACGGCGACTGGATACCGAGGAGCGTCTTCGGGAGATTCCAAGCCTTCTGTGCCTACATTCGCATGACTTACCTAGTCTTCGTCTACGCCTTGTTTTATCGTGGTGAACAAAAACCGCATTTATACTTCGTGGACTTAATTCCAGTAGCAGTACCAATTCTCAAATTATTCAAAGAAAAAGTGATCTATTACTGTCACCATCCGGATCTCCTAGCTAGCAGTCCAGGGGGCACTTTGAAGAAAATCTACCGAAAACCGATCGACTGGGTGGAGCTAAAATCGACCAAAAAAGCCGATATTGTGTTGGTGAATAGTGAATACACAGCTAGCGTTTTTAGACAGACTTTCCCCGAAATCGACAAACCGATTCAAGTGGTGTACCCAACTGTAGCTTATTCGTACCTAGAGGCGGTCAAAAAAGTGACAAATCCACGCCCGATGGTCGAAATCGTCCCGAAACTACCATCAAACGCGAGCTGCGTTTTTCTGTCAATTAATCGGTTCCATCCGGCGAAACAACTGGAGCTCGCGGTGCTCGGTATGGACAGGTTGCGCCAGATTACATCACCGGATGAATGGAAAGGCATTTATTTAATAGTAGCCGGGGGCTACGACCCCCAATCCCGAATCAACGCCACATACTTAAACGAGCTCCTACACCTCACTCGTGAGTGCAAACTAGAAGACAAAATTGTGTTTCTGAAGTCCCCCAACGACGATTTAAAAACAGAGCTACTCATAGCTTGTGACTGCTTGATTTATACACCCACAAAGGAGCACTTCGGGATTGTGCCCCTGGAAGCTATGACGGTGTCAAAGCCAGTGATTGCGTGCAACAGCGGCGGCCCGCGAGAAACCGTAGACCATGGCAACACGGGGTACTTGTGCGAACCCACCCCCGAAAGCATGGCGCGCTTCATGTACAAGATATACAAAACCGACACTAAAGAAATGGGGCTCAAAGGGAAGGAGATCTTGGAAAAAAAATTCTCCAATGAGAGTTTCGCCAAAAACTTGACACAGATTATAGACAGCATCAATAAAAAACAAATTTAATAATGTTAACCTATGTTACTACGTAAATAAACCAATTTTACTTCGTCCACGATACTTTGGGAATGTCGAAGTGTTCCGTGAGTCCGTCCAAGTGTTGGTTGAATTTTTCCACCCGTTCTTTATGAGTCATTGAAGCCTTCTCAAGTATGCGCTTAGTTTGCTGGAATTAAGTTGTCAAAGATTGTCAAACTACTAAAAATCGTACCATTTTTTCCTGCATTTGTACGAAAGCCATTTCCGCTTTGGTTTTGTTTGCGGCTGATTTGACTTCCGGGGTCTGACTTTCCACGGCTTTGGTCACTTGTTCGAGCAACTTCTTGTCCTTCTTCTTCTTCTTTTTCTTTTTAATGCCGTCGTTTTTTAGTTGTAATTTTCCAGAACAAACTTGTGCGTATGGGTCGTCCTCGCCCATTTTCACTTTGTTTTGTTTTGACAGGTGACAAGTGACGTATGACCACCAACGTAACGATACAAAAAAAAAACTTACCCCACTAATAACCTAGTAAATTAACCTAAACGATTTTTTTAACTTGACTAGAAGAAACGATTGTCTAAATTAGCAACCACAATGAATTATTATTTATTAATACAAACAAAATTGTAACAAACTGGTTTAATAACACAAGTAATACCAGAGAACATAGAGAAGCGTCATAGTTTAAATTAAATGACGGTTGAGGACTCCTCGACTTACGTTGGCAATAGTGTTCGTTTCTAACCAGGAATAAAATTAACTAGAAAAAATGTAATAATATTTTTAAGGACGCGTTTTAGTTTCGACAAATTGACACTAAAATTACCAGAATTTTACAAGCTGCTTACTGTTTCCTTCACTCTAATTCAGGTCACACGAATTACAGTTCGTCGACTGAGAACTTGTTTGATCTACAGACCAGAGCGCACTCAGGCCAATGTCGACTCTAAGCGTTCGGAAACGATTTGATTTATAAGCCATGGTCCGTGATCTGATACGCATCCTAGCCGGTTTCGACCATAATTTCTTGCTCAATTCTCAGTTTTCCGAAATTTTAGTTTGGGGACTTTTCAGTTTACTCCTATTTATTATTTAATTTTTAATTTCTTGGTTTTCAGTTTTTCTCTTCAATTTTACGATTTTTAAAAATTTCGATTTTTCAATTTTTGACTTTTATAAACTCTTTATTTGTCGATTTTTCGATTAATTGATTTGTCAGGTTTTTTGGTTTTTCAATTTTTCAATTTTTTTCAGGTTTCGATTTTTCAACTTCACTTTTTTGATTTTTCGATTTCTCAATTTTTCAATTTTTTAATTTCTCAGTTTTTCGATCTTACGATTTTGCAGATTTTTGATTTTTCAGTTTCTCGATTCGTCAGTTTTTCTTTCATTTTTCAGTTTTTCGATATTTCAGTTTTGGGATTTTTCAATATTTCTGTTCTTCGACTTTTCCATTTTTGACTTCTGGATTTTTCGATGTGTCGACTTTTACGTTTTCGATTTTTAAATTTTAGATTTCTCAATTTTCTTGTATTTTAATTTTTCAATATTTAAAATTTTGGATTTTTCTATTTCTCGATTTTTCATTTTAGCTCTTCTATATTTCAATTTTTCAAATGTTTCGATTTCTTAATCTTTCGATTTTTCGACTTTCCGGTTTTAGATTTTCTGTTTTTCAATTGTCGTTTTTTCAAATTTTCGATTTTTCAATTAATCGATGTTTTGATTTTCCCATTTCTTGACATTCGAGTGTTTCGATTTTCCGGTTCTTCAAATCTTTAATATTTTGATTTTTCAGGTTTTTGATCTTTCAATTTTTCGATTTTTTAAGGTTTCGACTTCACTTTATGGATTTTTCGATTGCTCAATTTTTTGACTTTTTAGGTTCTCAGTTTTTGGACATTTCAGTTTTCGGATTTTTCAGGTTTTCCCATTTTTCAGTTTTTCTTTCATTTTTCAGTTTTTCGATATCTCAGTTTTGGGATTTTTCAATATTTTGATTCTTCTACTTTTCGATTTTTGACTCCTGGATTTTTCGATGTGTCGACTTTTTTACTTTTTCGATTGTTCAATTTTTCTATTTTTGAATTTTCGATTTTTTAATTTTTAAAGTTTTAGATTTCTCGATTTTACGATTTTTCATTTCAGTTCTGCGATATTTCAATTTTTCAAGTTTTCGAATGTTCCCATTTCTTAATCTTTTGATTTTTCGACTACCCGGTTTTAGATTTTGTGTTTTCAATTGTAATTTTGTCAAATTTTCGATTTTTTAATTTTTCAAATTTGACTTTTATAAACTCTCAATTTTTAGATTTTTCAATTAATCGATGTTTTGATTTTCCCATTTCTTGACCTTCGAGTGTTTCGATTTTTCTGTTCTTCAATTATTTAATTTTTTGATTTTTCAGATTTTTGATCTTTCAATTTTTCTATTTTTAAAGGTTTCGACTTCACCTTATGGATTTTTCAATTGCTCAATTTTTTATTTTTTTAGGTTCTCAGTTTTTCGATATTTCAGTTTTCGGATTTTTCAGGTTTTCCCATTTTTCAGTTTTTCTTTCATTTTTCAGTTTGTCGATATCTCAGTTTTGGGATTTTTCAATATTTTGATTCTTCTACTTTTCGATTTTTGACTCCTGGATTTTTCGATGTATCGACTTTTTTACTTTTTCGATTTTTCAATTTTTAAATTTTCGATTTTTTAATTTTTAAAGTTTTAAATTTTTCGATTTCTCGATTTTTCATTTCAGTTCTGCGATATTTCAATTTTTCAAGTTTTCGAATGTTTCCATTTCTTAATCTTTTGATTTTTCGACTACCCGGTTTTAGATTTTCTGTTTTTCAATTGTAATTTTGTCAAATTTTCGATTTTTTAATTTTTCAAATTTGACATTTATAAATTCTCAATTTTTAGATTTTTCAATTAATCGATGTTTTGATTTTCCCATTTCTTGACCTTCGAATGTTTCGATTTTTCTGTTCTTCAATTATTTAATTTTTTGATTTTTCAGATTTTTGATCTTTCAATTTTTCGATTTTTAAAGGTTTCGACTTCACCTTATGGATTTTTCAATTGCTCAATTTTTTTACTTTTTAGGTTCTCAGTTTTTGGATATTTCAGTTTTCGGATTTTTCAGGTTTTCCCATTTTTCAGTTTTTCTTTCATTTTTCAGTTTTTCGATATCTCAGTTTTGGGATTTTTCAATATTTTGATTCTTCGACTTTTCGATTTTTGACTCCTGGATTTTTCGATGAGTCGATTTTTTTACTTTTTCGATTTTTCGATTTTTCGATTTTTAAATTTTAGATTTTTTAATTTTTAAAGTTTTAAATTTTTCGATTTCTCGATTTTTCATTTCAGTTCTGCGATATTTCAATTTTTCAAGTTTTCGAATGTTTCCATTTCTTAATCTTTCGATTTTTCGACTACCCGGTTTTAGATTTTCTGTTTTTCAATTGTAATTTTGTCAAATTTTCGATTTTTTAATTTTTCAAATTTGACATTTATAAATTCTCAATTTTTAGATTTTTCAATTAATCGATGTTTTGATTTTCCCATTTCTTGACCTTCGAGTGTTTCGATTTTTCTGTTCTTCAATTATTTAATTTTTTGATTTTTCAGATTTTTGATCTTTCAATTTTTCGATTTTTAAAGGTTTCGACTTCACCTTATGGATTTTTCAATTGCTCAATTTTTTGACTTTTTAGGTTCTCAGTTTTTGGACATTTCAGTTTTCGGATTTTTCAAGTTTTCCCATTTTTCAGTTTTTCTTTCATTTTTCAGTTTTTCGATATCTCAGTTTTGGGATTTTTCAATATTTTGATTCTTCGACTTTTCGATTTTTGACTCCTGGATTTTTCGATGTGTCGATTTTTTTACTTTTTCGAATTTTCAATTTTTCGATTTTTAAATTTTCGATTTTTTAATTTTTAAGGTTTTAGATTTCTCGATTTTACGATTTTTCATTTCAGTTCTGCGATATTTCAATTTTTCAAGTTTTCGAATGTTTCGAAGGTTTCCATTTCTTAATCTTTTGATTTTTCGACTACCCGGTTTTAGATTTTCTGTTTTTCAATTGTAATTTTGTCAAATTTTCGATTTTTAAATTTTAGATTTCTCAATTTTTTTGTATTTTAATTTTTCAATATTTCAAATTTTAGATTTTTCTATTTCTCGATTTTTCATTATAGCTCTTCCATATTTCAATTTTTCAAATGTTTCGATTTCTTAATCTTTCGATTTTTCGACTTTCCGGTTTTAGATTTTCTGTTTTTCAATTGTCGTTTTTTCAAATTTTCGATTTTTCAATTAATCGATGTTTTGATTTTCCCATTTCTTGACATTCGAGTGTTTCGATTTTTCTGTTCTTCAATTATTTAATTTTTTGATTTTTCAGATTTTTGATCTTTCAATTTTTCGATTTTTAAAGGTTTCGACTTCACCTTATGGATTTTTCAATTGCTCAATTTTTTTACTTTTTAGGTTCTCAGTTTTTGGATATTTCAGTTTTCGGATTTTTCAGTTTTTCTTTCATTTTTCAGTTTTTCGATATCTCAGTTTTGGGATTTTTCAATATTTTGATTCTTCTACTTTTCGATTTTTGACTCCTGGATTTTTCGATGTGTCGATTTTTTTTACTTTTTCAATTTTTCAAGTTTTCGAATGTTTCCATTTCTTAATCTTTTGATTTTTCGACTACCCGGTTTTAGATTTTCTGTTTTTCAATTGTAATTTTGTCAAATTTTCGATTTTTTAATTTTTCAAATTTGAGTTTTATAAATTCTCAATTTTTAGATATTTCAATTAAGCGATGTTTTGATTTTCCCATTTCTTGACCTTCGAGTGTTTCGATTTTTCTGTTTTTCAATTATTTAATTTTTTGATTTTTCAGATTTTTGATCTTTCAATTTTTCGATTTTTAAAGGTTTCGACTTCACCTTATGGATTTTTCAATTGCTCAATTTTTTGACTTTTTAGGTTCTCAGTTTTTGGATATTTCAGTTTTCGGATTTTTCAGGTTTTCCCATTTTTCAGTTTTTCTTTCATTTTTCAGTTTGTCGATATCTCAGTTTTGGGATTTTTCAATATTTTGATTCTTCGACTTTTCGATTTTTGACTCCTGGATTTTTCGATGTGTCGATTTTTTTACTTTTTCGATTTTTCAATTTTTGGATTTTTAAATTTTAGATTTTTTAATTTTTAAAGTTTTAAATTTTTCGATTTCTCGATTTTTCATTTCAGTTCTGCGATATTTCAATTTTTCAAGTTTTCGAATGTTTCCATTTCTTAATCTTTTGATTTTTTGACTACCCGGTTTTAGATTTTCTGTTCTTCAATTGTAATTTTGTCAAATTTTCGATTTTTTAATTTTTCAAATTTGACTTTTATAAATTCTCAATTTTTAGATTTTTCAATTAATCGATGTTTTGATTTTCCCATTTCTCGACCTTCGAGTGTTTCGATTTTTCTGTTCTTCAATTATTTAATTTTTTGATTTTTCAGATTTTTGATCTTTCAATTTTTCGATTTTTAAAGGTTTCGACTTCACCTTATGGATTTTTCAATTGCTCAATTTTTTTACTTTTTAGGTTCTCAGTTTTTGGATATTTCAGTTTTCGGATTTTCAGGTTTTCCCATTTTTCAGTTTGTTGATATCTCAGTTTTGGGATTTTTCAATATTTTGATTCTTCTACTTTTCGATTTTTGACTCCTGGATTTTTTGATGTGTCGACTTTTTTACTTTTTCGATTTTTCAATTTTTCTATTTTTAAATTTTCGATTTTTTAGTTTTTAAAGTTTTAGATTTCTCGATTTTACGATTTTTCATTTCAGTTCTGCGATATTTCAATTTTTCAAGTTTTCGAATGTTTCGAATGTTTCCATTTCTTAATCTTTTGATTTTTCGACTACCCGGTTTTATATTTTCTGTTTTTCAATTGTAATTTTGTCAAATTTTCGATTTTTTAATTTTTCAAATTTGACTTTTCTAAATTCTCAATTTTTAGATTTTTCAATTAATCGATGTTTTGATTTTCCCATTTCTCGACCTTCGAGTGTTTCGATTTTTCTGTTCTTCAATTATTTAATTTTTTGATTTTTCAGATTTTTGATCTTTCAATTTTTCTATTTTTAAAGGTTTCGACTTCACCTTATGGATTTTTCAATTGCTCAATTTTTTGACTTTTTAGGTTCTCAGTTTTTGGATATTTCAGTTTTCGGATTTTTCAGGTTTTCCCATTTTTCAGTTTTTCTTTCATTTTTCAGTTTTTCGATATCTCAGTTTTGGGATTTTTCTATATTTTGATTCTTCTACTTTTCGATTTTTGACTCCTGGATTTTTCGATGTGTCGACTTTTTTACTTTTTCGATTTTTCAATTTTTCTATTTTTAAATTTTCGATTTTTTAATTTTTCAAATTTGACTTTTATAAATTCTCAATTTTTAGATTTTTCAATTAATCGATGTTTTGATTTTCCCATTTCTTGACCTTCGAGTGTTTCGATTTTTCTGTTCTTCAATTATTTAATTTTTTGATTTTTCAGATTTTTGATCTTTCAACTTTTCGATTTTTAAAAGTTTCGACTTCACCTTATGGATTTTTCAATTGCTCAATTTTTTGACTTTTTAGGTTCTCAGTTTTTGGATATTTCAGTTTTCGGATTTTTCAGGTTTTCCCATTTTTCAATATTTTGATTCTTCGACTTTTCGATTTTTGACTCCTGGATTTTTCGATGTGTCGACTTTTTTACCTTTTCGATTTTTCTATTTTTCTATTTTTAAATTTTCGATTTTTTAATTTATAAAGTTTTAGATTTCTCGATTTTACGATTTTTCATTTCAGTTCTGCGATATTTCAATTTTTCAAGTTTTCGAATGTTTCGAAGGTTTCCATTTCTTAATCTTTTGATTTTTCGACTACTCGGTTTTAGATTTTGTGTTTTTCAATTGTAATTTTGTCAAATTTTCGATTTTTTAATTTTTCAAATCTGACTTTTATAAATTCTCAATTTTTAGATTTTTCAATTAATCGATGTTTTGATTTTCCCATTTCTCGACCTTCGAGTGTTTCGATTTTTCTGTTCTTCAATTATTTAATTTTTTGATTTTTCAGATTTTTAAAGGTTTCGACTTCACCTTATGGATTTTTCAATTGCTCAATTTTTTGACTTTTTAGGTTCTCAGATTTTGGATATTTCAGTTTTCGGATTTTTCAGGTTTTCCCATTTTTCAGTTTTTCTTTCATTTTTCAGTTTGTCGATATCTCAGTTTTGGGATTTTTCAATATTTTGATTCTTCTACTTTTCGATTTTTGACTCCTGGATTTTTCGATGTGTCGACTTTTTTACTTTTTCGATTTTTCAATTTTTAAATTTTAGATTTTTTAATTTTTAAAATTTTAAATTTTTCGATTTCTCGATTTTTCATTTCAGTTCTGCGATATTTCAATTTTTCAAGTTTTCGAATGTTTCCATTTCTCAATCTTTTGATTTTTCGACTACCCGGTTTTAGATTTTCTGTTTTTCAATTGTAATTTTGTCAAATTTTCGATTTTTTAATTTTTCAAATTTGACATTTATAAATTCTCAATTTTTAGATTTTTCAATTAATCGATGTTTTGATTTTCCCATTTCTTGACCTTCGAGTGTTTCGATTTTTCTGTTCTTCAATTATTTAATTTTTTGATTTTTCAGATTTTTGATCTTTCAATTTTTCTATTTTTAAAGGTTTCGACTTCACCTTATGGATTTTTCAATTGCTCAATTTTTTGACTTTTTAGGTTCTCAGTTTTTGGATATTTCAGTTTTCGGATTTTTCAGGTTTTCCCATTTTTCAGTTTTTCTTTCATTTTTCAGTTTTTCGATATCTCAGTTTTGGGATTTTTCAATATTTTGATTCTTCTACTTTTCGATTTTTGACTCCTGGATTTTTCGATGTGTCAACTTTTTTACTTTTTCGATTTTTAAATTTTCGATTTTTTAATTTTTAAAGTTTTAAATTTTTCGATTTCTCGATTTTTCATTTCAGTTCTGCGATATTTCAATTTTTCAAGTTTTCGAATGTTTCCATTTCTTAATCTTTTGATTTTTCGACTACCCGGTTTTAGATTTTCTGTTTTTCAATTGTAATTTTGTCAAATTTTCGATTTTTTAATTTTTCAAATTTGACTTTTATAAATTCTCAATTTTTAGATTTTTCAATTAATCGATGTTTTGATTTTCCCATTTCTTGACCTTCGAGTGTTTCGATTTTTCTGTTCTTCAATTCTTTAATTTTTTGATTTTTCAGGTTTTTGATTTTTCAATTTTTCGATTTTTTTAAGGTTTCTATTTTTCGATTTCACTTTTTTGATTTTTCGATTTTTCAGTTTTTAGATATTTTAGTTTAGGATTTTTCAATATTTCAATTCTTCGGTTTTTCTGTTTTTGACTTCTGGATTTTTCGATGTGTTTTATTTTTCGATTTTTCAATTTTTGGATTTCTAAATTTTAAATTGTTCAATCTTTTGACATTTTAGTTTTTCAATTTCTCAGTCTTTCGATTTTTCGACTTCCTGGTTTTAGATGTTCTGTTTTTCAATTTTTCGATTTGTTAATTATTCATTCCCGATTTATCTAGATTTGATTGTTCAGGTTTTCGATTTATCAGTTTTTCAATTTTTTATTTTGGCCTATTTCGGTTTCTCATTTTTTCCAGTTTTCCATTTTTTCAACTTTTAACTTTTTGTTTGTCGATTTCTCTATTTTTAAATTTTTCGACTTCATCACTTTTCGATTTCTCGTTCTTTTGATCATTCAATCTCTCAATTTTTCAATTTTTCGAATTTTAAGTTTTTTGATTTCTCGATTTATCGAGATTTGGATTTTCCGATATTTTGATTGTCAATTTATAAATTGTTCAATTTTTAACTTTTCGATTTTTCGATTTTGGCCTATTTCGGTTTCTCAATTCTTCGACTTTTCGACTCCATGATTTCTTGATCTTTTGATTTTTCGATTTCTCGGTTTTTCGATGTTTCGATTTTTCAGTTATCCGACTTTTTAAATTTGGGAGTTTCGATTTCTCAATTTTTCGTTATTCGATTTCTAAATTTTAGATTTTTGAATTTTACATTTTTCGATTTTCAGTTCTTCGATATTTCGATTTTTCAATGTTTCGGTTTTACGATTTTTTAAGGTTTCGATTTTTCGATCATTAGGTTTCTCGATTTTTCAAATTTTCGATTATTTTAATTTTTCATTTTTTTTCTCACTGTCAATATCATACAGTGTATTGAAAACAACCGCAAAAATTGTCACTAAAAACATTTAAAAATTCATACAAAATAGAACACAGTGTTTCCAAAACATTTTCCTGAAAAAAATCCATTGGGTTATTACGATTTCAACAATATTCTTAATTTAAGACGTTTTGCTAGTATAAAACACAAATAAAGAATTAATTCTTAGTTAAACGAAATATGTATAATCATTATTGGCATCGACTATTTAAATTTGGCGCTTGCCTTTGACGGTTGAGGACTCCAATGTCAATAAGAGTGGTTTTGCAAAATCAGACTGTCGCATCTAAATTAATCTATGGTAATACCAACCTAACGCCGCTAACCCCCTACGAAAGCAGTGTTGCCAACTGCAGGGAATTTTCCCTTTTAAGGGAATTTTAGGATAAGAAAGGGAAAAAGGGAATTTTTTGACAAAAGTCGCCAATTTTGGGGAATTTTAGAAGCATTCTTAAGTACGCTGACAACGCAGCAAAGAAAATGTGAAAATTGATAAATCATTATTTTTTCAGCTTAGAAAAGAGCAACATAGTTTGGTAGGTCTTGGTTGTGTGTTGAGGTCAAGAGTAGACAAAATGTACTAAATGTAAAACGTAGGTCAACTTGTCATTGACAAGACCAAAAAAAGAAACAGGATTGGGGAGAGTTCTTTAAACGCTGTTGCTGTTTTTAGGAGCTTTTTGCAGGCAACAGAACTGGATGTTGTTAAGTATCCAATAACACAAGGCCATCCAGTTACATAATGTTGCAATGTATTCATTTAAACACTGATAAAGAGGCTGGATTTTTGTCCTTTATTTGTACTGTAATTATAGAACTATATTTTTGTTACTTTGTCTTGTCAATTTTGAAATTATAGTGTTTGTTTACTATATTATTATTATTAAAAGAAGTTAAAAAGAAAGGAGCGTTGTTTTTGGGGAGGAAATTAGTAGATTAAGTGTTTTCTTGATCCCAGAGAAATTTTATCAATTTGTAATGGTAGTAATAGGTAGGTACCTATATGCAAAAGAGAATTTTGAGGCTGAAAAGGGAATTTTTATCGTCCATGTAGGGAATTCGCCATTACAAAGGTTGGCAACACTGTACGAAAGTAGGGTTACGTCGCCCGAGAATGTTTATCGCTAAAAATAACCCGTATCTGTGAGGGGGGACAAGGTTGCTATTGTTAAACAATGAGTTTTATTATTAACGCACTTAAAAACATTTTACATAGGATGCTACAGTTCCTATCATTTAGTAAGAAAAAAATCGGCAATTCTCTGAGCATCTACATCAAAACAAACACCGGAAACACTCTCTCGGTGGATTTGGACCCCACCTGGGACATCAAAAACGTGAAAGAGTTGGTGGCCCCCCAACTCGGCTTGGACCCAGGCGAAGTGAAAATAATCTTTGCAGGTAAAGAACTGGGGGACTCCATCACCATTTCAGTAAGTCTGTCCCCCACTAGTCGTAGTGTTAGTCACGTAATGTTCCAGGAGTGCGACCTAGGCCAACAAAGCACCCTCCACGCTATAAAAATCACGAAAAAACCGCCCCCAGTGAGCCCCTTGATCGAAGAGAGCGACGAAGGCAAACCGCTTTGCGAGACTTTAAACGACCGCAGCTTTTCCAACGACGACACGCAGCCCCCCAGCGGCACCAAAGTCCACTTTTTCGTCTACTGCCCCACTTGTAAGGGTCTGAAAAACGGGAAACTGCGCGTGAGGTGTCATTTTTGTAAATCGGGGGCTTTCACCGTGCACGCGGACCCTCAAAACTGGACGGACGTTCTAGAGCCGAAGCAAATTACGGGGTTGTGTGAAAATGGGGCCGAGTTTTGCGCAGATGTATGTATTTTGTTCGAGTTTGGTGTCAAACTAAATTTGGTTGTAGATTTTGGATAACCGGGAACCCACGTTTGCGGATTTTTATTTCAAGTGTTCGGAACACACGTCGCTGGGGGAGGACGACGAAGCCGTGCCTTTGTACCTGATTCGGCCGAATTTGAAAGATGTGCCTTGTTTGGCCTGTGCTGATGTTAAGTGAGTGGGTTGTTTTTTTTTTTTTTTTTGATTAGTTGACATTGTGGGGGTTTCAGCGACCTAGTCTTTGTTTTTCCGTGTGAAGGGGGACATGTTACTTGTTTGGATTGTTTCCGGCAGTATTGTTCAACGCGCTTGCGCGAGCGGCAGTTCTGGCAGCACCCGGAGTTTGGGTACACGTTGGCATGTCCAGCTGGGTGTCCCGATTCATTTATTAAAGAGATACATCATTTTCGTTTGTTGTCTGAGAATCAAGTATGTTTTCACTATATCTGTGACTTAATTTTATTTTTGGAAATTTTATTTATAGTATGTGCAATATCAGAGGTTTGCGACTGAAGAGTTCGTACTGAGGTCTGGAGGGGTCCTCTGCCCTCAACCTGGCTGTGGAATGGGCATTTTGGCTGATCCAGAATGCACTAAAATTACGTGTATTAGTGGCTGTGGGGTGAGTGACACATTTAATACCATTTACTACCAACTGCGTCAGTGCTGCCAACTTGTATGTTTCAGTACGTTTTCTGCCGCCTTTGCCTCCAGGGCTACCACATAGGGGAATGCCACATATCAGAAGACGTAAATAGTACAAATAACGCCGATTGTTCCTATAACGTAGACCCAGCTCGGGCTGCCGAAGCCCGATGGGACGAAGCCTCCAAGGTTGCCATCAAAGTCCTAACTAAACCATGCCCTAAGTGCAGAACACCCACAGAGCGAGATGGTACAAGTCCACAATTAAATGAAGTCCAATTATCCCATTTTCCATTTTTAGGTGGTTGCATGCACATGGTGTGCACCCGCGCCGGCTGCGAGTACCATTGGTGTTGGGTGTGCCAAACCGCGTGGACCCGCGACTGCATGGGCAGCCACTGGTTCGGCTAAACCATCCATCCATCCATACTTTAAGAATCAAGTTGTAATAATTAATAAATGTCGTGGAAACGAACTTTGTTTAAATAATCCCGTCAACAAACGTCTTGCCAGATTGTTGCGATTCGAAGAGGATGAACTTCTGCATAAAACGAGGTATTTCTGACCCAATCGTTCGAGGGATTTTTAGTCGGGGCTTCCTCAGAGTTCTGCGACGCGAACAGAGAGAGGGCGAGGATCCCCAGGCCCCCTAATGCCTTTATGTTGTACGCGAACGAGAACAGGAAGAAAATGTCGCAATTGTACCCCACGGAGTCGAATAAGGACATCAGTAAGCGCTTGGGGAGCGGCTGGAAGTGCCTGGACGAGGAGGAGAGGAAGAGGTTTTTCGATCGGGCGAAGGCGATTGGGCTACAACACAAGAGGGAGTATCCAGGTATTTATTACAAGGACAACTAGTTATTACTTTGTTTGAATTTTAGTATTGCCCAGTCAGAACTAGTCCAACCGGGCTTCCAAAAATTGGTCTGTCTTTTTGAATTTAAAAAAGACAAGGGAAGTTCTATCTTTATACAGGTTTCCGTGTCTGTCTGTGAGTTGAATAGTCGGAGTTGGAGGTTATTACCAGAGGGTAGACACTGTGTCGGGAATGCTTACGTCGTGCGCCCTCTGTGATCCCTTATTGTAACTACCCTTAGTGTTTGATTACAAATAATCAAAAATTATTATTCTTTTAATTTAATATTGTCTTTGTTTGTAACATTGTTGTCTGGTTTCAGTTCTTTCCATTAACTGTTGATTCGGAGTAGTTAAATGTAGCACTAGATCCGGCTGCAATCCTTGACCTCTAAGACATTTCTGGAGCTCCGTTTTTGCTATTAACAAGATGTGGGATATCGATTCCTGAGGGCTAGCTGAATGACCGGCAGTGGCGCACGGTCACCGATTTGGGGTGTTAATGTCAAAGAGTTCGAGCTCAGTTTGGATTTATGTTGGTTCGTTTCAATTCAGGGGTGTTTCGGGTTATATATGTCAAGATTGTCAAGTAATAAATTCGGTTGAAGTTGGTTTTGAAGTGACAACAGATGTCACTTTGGAAGTTTATTGTGAAATCAGTACATGGTTGGGTTTAATGACACTTCAAGTACGATCGTCAGTTGGCGCTGGATTTAGTTGACGTATTCATTTGTCGTGATGTCAGTTTAGGCAAGAAGTTCCAACGCCAACTGATTAATAATAAAATATAAGAATTAAGTGTACTTAAGTGTACATTTAACTCATACTTAAGTACTAATTGGGTAATTCTTTAATTCTTTAAGGAGCACATGCGTAGTAGTAGTAGAACTTGTTAAGATAAGACTGATTTTGGTAAATGACATATCCTCTAAGAAAAAAAAGGGTGGGTGGGTGAGGCTAAAACTTGTTAAGATAGGACTGAACAATATTAAGAGTGGTCACTGGAACGAAGAAGGGATGGGTAGGCGTGGCCACTGCTTGCTCGTAAAACTAGAAAAAAACTAAATTTAGCTCCGCCCACCTCCTTTCTTCCTTTCACTGACTTAATTTATTTAGTGTTAAATGGAAATTGAAAAATAACAGTACCGTATTTCCAAAATTTTCTGGGAAAATGGACTGGGCCGTTTCTGATTTAATCAATAAAGTAAAGCGACTAATTCATTAATTTTCTTTGACCCACGTGTATAAGCAAATCTAGAAATATGAATGCAATAATAAATCACAAGTAAAAACTCTTTATATTTTGCATTTTGTAATTTTTTCATTTACTATTTTACGAATTTTCGACTTTTCAGTTTTTCGATTTTTTAATTTTTCAATTTTTCGATGTTCGACTTCGATTTCCCGATTTTTCAATTTTTCGAGGTCCCGATTTCCCAATTATTCGATTTATGGATTTTTCGACTTTTCAGTTTTTGGCTTTGATTTCTCAATTTCCCCCGACTGTCGATTTTTGAATTGTTCTATATTTCAAGTTTTTGATTTTTGCATTTCGATATTTGAATTTTTCGACCTCGATTTATTTTTAAACTTTTCAATAATTTTTCGATTTTTGGATTTTTGGATGTTTCAATTCTTAGATTTGCGGTTTCACGAGTTGTCTATTTTTTGATCTGGAATTTTTCTTTCCGGTTTTTTATTTTCTTAATTTTTTCAATTTTTCGGTTTTTCAATGTTTTCATTTTATAATTTCTCTTTTTTTCTATGTGAAATTTTTCAATGTTTGGTTTTTTCGATTTTCAAATTTTCGTTTCTCCAATTTTTGACTTGCTGTATTTTTGATTTTAAATATGTAATAATAATAATAATTATAATTAAAAAAAAGCCTTTTCAATTTTACGATTTTAGAATTTTTTTTCATTTTTTCAATTATTGAATTTTTAAACGTTTTCAATTATTCGATTTTTAACTTTCAAATTTCTCGATTTTTCAATTTTTCGATCTTCCAAGGTTACAGTTTTTCGACTTTACAATTTTGGTGATTCCATAATTTTCCGTTTTAAAATTTCTCTAGTTTTCAATTTATAATTTTTCCATTTTGCGATTTTAATTTCTTCAAATTTTCAATTTACAATTTTTCGGTGTACCGATGTTATAATTTTTTGTTTTTTCAATTTTTCAGTTTTTCGATTTTCAAATTTTGGGCGTTTCAATTTTTAGATTTTGCAATTTTTTGATTTGCTATTTCACGACTTTTCGATTTATCGATTTTTCGACTTTTCGATTTTTCAATTTCCCGATTTTTCAGTTTTTCGATGTCCCGCCGATTTCCCAACAATTATTCGATTTGTGGATTTTTCGACTGTTCAGTTTTTCGATTTGATTTTCGGTTTCCCGATTTCCCAATTATTCAATTTCCCGATTTTTAAATTGTTCTATATTTCAGGTTTTTGATTTTTCGATTTTTTGCATTTCGATATTTGAATTTTGCAATGTTTCGACTTCGATTTCCGATTTCTCAATTTTTCAATTTCTCGGTTTTTCAACTTCGACTTCGCGGTTTTTCGGCTTCAGAGTTTTTCGATTTCGCTTCCCGATTTCTCAAATTTTCAACTTTTCAGTTTTTCAATTTTTCGACTTTCCGAGTCCTCTCCTGATTTCTCGATTTCCCGCGTTTTCGATTTCTAAATTTTTCGATTTTTTAACACTGCGATTTTTCAATTTTTCGATCTCTTGATTCTCGATTTCCTGAGTTTACGATTTATTCGTTTTTTCGTCAGATCATATTTTAAAATTTTTCCATTTCCAGTTTCTCAATTGCTCGACTTTTCGATTTCACCATTCGGTTTCACGATTTTTAACTTTTCAATTTTTCAGTATCCTGATTTCTCGATATCTCGATTTTTTCATTCCTCGACTTTTCGATTTATCAATTTCTCGAATTTTTCGAGTTTTCGTTTTCCCAGTTTTTCAATTTCTCGATTTATCAGTTCGTCAGTTTTTAGACTTCCCAGTTTACCGATTTTTTTAATTTTTCGATGTCTTGATTCTCGATTTCCCGACTTCAATATTTTTCGTTTTCTCTGTTTCTGGACTTTTCAATCTCCTAATTTCTCGATTTCCCCAGTTTACGATTTATTAATTTTTTCGACATTTAAATTTTTCAATTTCACGATTTCTAAATTTTTCGATTTCTCTATTTTTGAATTTTCAGATTGTTTAATTTTGCGACCTTTCGGTTTCACGATTTTTAATTTTTCAATATCTCGATTCCCCGATGTCTCGATTCCTTAATTTCTCGACTCTTCGATTTATCAATTCCTCGAATTTTTACAATTTTTCGATTTTCCGGTTTTCCAATTTCTCTATATTTCGGCTTTCCGATTTCCCCACTTCCAATTTTTCGGGTTTTCAATTTTTCAAGTTTTCCTTTTCTTGATGTTTCGATTTTTTGATTCCCGATTTTTCAACTTTTCGATTTTTCAGTTTCTCGATTTCCCGAATTTTAGATTTCTAATATTTCGTTTTTGATTTTTCGATTTTCTGATGTCTCAGTTTTTCGGGTTCTTTATTTTTCAATGTTTCGATTTTTCAGATTTCTGATTAATTTCGCTGTTTTTCAGTTTCCCCATTTTTAAAATTTTCGGCTTTTCGATTTCCCGACTGAACTTTTCGAACTCTTCGATTTTTCAATTTCACGAATTTTTCAATTTTTCGATATTTCAGGTTTTGATTTTATCCATTTTTCATATTTCAATTTCCCGGTTTCTCGATTTTTTCCGACTTCGATTTCCAGACTTTTCATTTTATCGATTTTTCGATTTGCAGTTTTTCAGTTTTTCATTTTTTTTTGTTTCTTCAACTTTGTGACATGAAACATTTCAAGTTTTCATTTTAAAATTTTTCAGTTTTTCGATTTTCCAATTTTTCGGTGTTTCAATTTTTAGATTTTGTAAATTTTTGGTTTGGTTTCGTCACGAGTTTTCGACTTGTCGATTTTTCGATTTTGCAGTTTTCTGAATTTTTAATTTCTCAATTTTTCGACTTTTCAGTTTTTCAATCTGATTTCTCAATTTTTTAAATTTTCGATTTCCCGATTTCCCAATTATTCAATTCAATTTGTCGATTTTACCTCCGACTGTCGATTTTTGAATTGTTCCATATTTCGGGTTTTTGATGTTTCGATTTTTTGCATTTCGATGTTCGAATTTTTCAATTTTTTGACTTCGATTTACCGATTTTTCAATTTTTCGACTTCAACTTACCGATTTTTTTTCGAATTTTCAGTTTTTTAATTTTTCAATGTCTCAATTTTTCGATTTTTTAACACTGCGATTTTTCAATTTTTCGATCTCCTGATTTCTCGATTTCCTGAGTTTACGATTCAAGTATTAATTTTTCCGACATTTAGATTTTAAAATTTTTCCAGTTTCAATTTCTCGATTTTTCGATTTCACGATTTCTAAATTTTTCGATCTTTTGGTTTCACGATTTTTTATTTTTCAATTTTCCAATACCCCGATTTCCCGATTTTTTAAGTCTTCGACTCTTCGATTTATCAATTTCCCGAATTTTTCAAATTTTTCGATATCCCGATTTCTCGATATCTCGATTTTTTCATTCCTCGACTCTTCGATTTATCAATTTCTCGAATTTTTACGATTTTTCGATTTTCCGGTTCCCCAATTTCTCTATTTTGCGGCTTTTCGATTTCTCCATCTCCCAATTTTTCGAGTTTTCGTTTTCCCAATTTTTCAATTTCTCGATTTATCAGTTCGTCAGTTTTTAGACTTCCCAGTTTACCGATTTTTTCAATTTTTCGATCTCTTGATTCTCGATTTCCCGACTTCAATATTTTTCGTTTTCTCTGTTTCTGGACTTTTCATTCTCCTAATTTCTCGATTTCCCGAGTTTACGATTTATTAATTTTTTCGACATTTAGATCTTTCGATTTCACGATTTCTAAATTTTTCGATTTCT